ATATGACAAATAAACACTTTGACCTTCGACCTAACAGATGGGTGGGGCTTATCACAAAGATGCCACCAGGGGACTTTCCCATCACAGTCAAGTAATTTACACCTGTGAAATACTTTGCCAGATTGTAGCGCTCCTGTATCAGAATTTTAGGTAAACCTTGCCCACCTGGGACCTGGTCAGACCACAACAAATGCTACTGCTTATGTGCATTAACTCGGGTGTTAGACGACAAACACACACACAATGCTGTGTTTCATTCCTTGTGGGGACTTTACATTGACTTACATTCATTTCCTGTAGACTTATCCTAACCTTAACCATAGCCACTACTTGCCTAACACCTAACCTTGACCCTAACCTTAAACCATGTTGCTACCCAAGAATTCAGTGATGGAGGACCAGAGGCTGGTCCCCACAAGGATGGCCGAGTCCCCACAATGTGAGTGTGTTAACAAGTTATCACAATGTAAGTAAAACAAAGGCACACACATGCACATCCCCAGTCAGAAGCCTCACCTTGAAGTTTCCTTTTATCGGCCATGACTGATGACTAGGATGATGTCTTCATGCCGTCTTTCACTGGCAAAAACAAGACAAAAAAGGTCATTAATGCATCTGTTAGTGTAACTGGGACAGTGCATATTAATAAACACCTCGGCAGATGTGATTTTTCATATGCAGAGCATATAGCCTATACTGTAAGTAAAAAGCAGCTGAATTGAAGAACTATCTACAAAGAAAAACAGACTGATGACAAGATGTGAAAGAGGAAGCACTGGGGACTAACAGGGAGAAAGATGCAGACCATTCTTATTAGCAGTTAACCAAATCCAAAGGTCTGGCTCAGCAGCTGAGCCTGACCTTTATCCTCCCTAATGTCTCCACAGGAATCTGACGCTGTAACTAAAAGAAACACCCTTTACACACCTTAATGCCTATTCTATAGATCTGTGTTGTTATCTGGGCATCATCTCATATGTAATAAAGTCATTTATCTGGTTTATCTACTTTCCCTAAACCTTCCTGCTCAGTGTATACATCACCTGATGATTTCTACATTTTTCTAGACCCTTCAGGGAACAGGTCTGGACATGTTGCATGTGATGCCCCATTTCTACAGCCTGGGTGCTTTAGTGTGCAGGCACGCTGGGTTGTGATCATATGCACTTATTTGAACTGCTGATTCTGATGTAAATCACTGATGTTTGGACGCTGGTGAATGAGCAATGAAAGAAAACTCCTGAATAAATGAGTGGAAATTAAAAAATAAAGGGGTCACTCATAGGGCTGCAAAACCAATGAAAAATGATAATATAAATAGTTGGCAGCAAATGTAATTGTCGATTAGCTGGGACTAGTCACACAACTGTGTGAGACGACGGGGTCAGCGACTGGGTGACTACATCAGTGTGGCGTATGAAAGCAGTGGACAGTAGTGTGCATGGTTACAGCAGAAAAAAGTGGTCGACCAAAGCCGTCTAAAGTTTGGGAGCACTTTATTTCACAATCAGAAAGAAGATTGTCTAGTGCCAAATGTGCAAAACATACAGTATCTGTCATGGCACCTAGTTTGTCTTTACAGTTGTCAATGAATGAAATAAAACTTTTTACTGACACATCTTCATTCCTCACCATAAACACATTCTCAAATGCCTAAACACAAGCAGCAGTAAATCTGTAAAAATGTGATTTCTATCAGGAAATATCAGGTCAAAGAACCAATACACCATGCCAACTTTCAATACATGAACCGAAACATGTCACTATCAGCTCACTGCAGAGGGACCCCATCCGCCTTGTGCTCATCTTGGGGCCAGCTATTAAAATGCTAATTTAAGATGACTTTGTCAAGATGTTTATGTCACTGGTTTTGAAAAGAAAATTAATATCAGCTGACATATTATTAGAGTCATATCAATATCAGTGTCAAAAATCAGTCAGGCTATGTTTGACAGTTCTCTACATTTTTCAGTACAGACACATTTCAGTCAGAATCAGAGGCACTGAGTTTACTAACTGAGCCCTACAAACCAAAACCGCAATTTATAATCAGAAGTGAGATCAGTTTAGACAACATGAGAGTGCCACAGTAGCCCAGTATCATCACATCATCATGGCCTGATGATGCCATGCTTAAAGGGACAGTGGGCGACCTGTATCAGTGCTAATGATCACTATGAGCAGAGTAACATTTGACCATTGATTTCTGTTCTCAAAGGCCATCCTGTGTATGTGATTCATGACCCCAGCATGTGCTTTACCAGTACAGCAGAGATCACATCGAACTGAAAAGTTGATCCTCTTAAACTCAGGAAAGGACCCACATTGGATTCAGTAAAGTCACAGAAAGCATGTTGCTTAATGAGAAAAGGAGTCCCTTTAACCTGCATAATATGCTTGGCAGTGGGTCACTGATCAAGTTCAGACTATGAAATGTAGGCTTTTCTTATAGAAAGACAGTGTTTATGATGCTTTCCTCACACAGACTGAGGAAACCTAACAGTTATACAGGAACATATTTCCTGGGGGTTCCTTTAAAGACCAGAAACATTTCAATCTGAACTTAAGTTTAAGCCTCAATCCTACAGAATCACAATATTAGTTACAGTCTCAAAACAATCATTGATTTTTCAATCAACAACTTCTTGCCAACACAGTTCGCATTTATGCCTATGAGGCTCCCGTGCAGCTGTGCTACAGGTCAGTAGAGGTGACAAAGTGTAACGCTGCTCTGTCACCGTCCCTCTTACTCCGCATCAAACTGAGGCAGCACTGTTTATGAAAAATGTTTTCATCCTGAGAATTTATACCTCGAGTCAGCCACTTTTCATTTGCTTCTGAAACCGGTTTTTCCACCATCCCAACTGGCATCATGTTGTTTGTGGTAGTGAATGAAATACCTAAAGCACCACAGCATATGTTACTACAAGTAGAAGCCCTGCATCCAAAATATTACTTAAACAAAAGTACAAAAATATAACCATTGCATTAAAGTAGATGATATTACTGAATTATAACTAATGATGCACAATTGTGCTCATCACTTTAATGCTACAAGTGGTACCTGGTTGCCTTTATGTATTTTTTTTTTATTTTAAGAAGTGAATTACTAAGTGTGATGCTTGAAGTTCACTGGGGAAAATACTATTACCCTATTTTTGTGTATTGCGGTTTTAATGCTTTGTTTCCTTTATATAATCTTTTTAATTTTTATTTTAAGACTAAGTGTTCTCTCTGGCTTTTGACTCCTTGCCTGACTCCAAAGGAGAGCTGCACAAGAATTCCTATATGCCTAAACTGTCTGTTTATGCATAAATGGCAAATAAAATCTTGACTTGACTTGACTAAAGCTGGATCTAATGTTAAGTACTTTACATACATAGCTTGTCAATTTCCCACCGGGGATCAACATTTTATAATTATACCGTATTTTGTTTTAATCCTCAGAAGGAAAACTGAAGTTATCAAATACATGTATTGCAGTAAAAAGTACCGTTTTTGCCTCTGAAATGTAGTAAACTGGAAGTATGAAGTAGCAGAAAATGAAGATACTCAAGTAAAGTACAGATACCTCCAAGTAGTTTCTTCCCACCACTGGTCTTTAGCTATAAAATATGAAACTGTCCTCACTGTGTAGCTGCTTCTTTCTGGGCATTTTCATTTCAGGCTGTGACTGAAGAGGCCAACAGAAGCAATTGCTGCTGGGTCTGAACTTACGTTAGCACAAGACGCCTGTGTACCAGCCTGACCACTGCAGCCTGGGAGCAGACTCAGACTTTCAGTGTGCCAGGACGGTAATGCCACCGTCCACATGGTGGAAAAGGTTTGTTGTGTTTCCTGTCTGTCTTGTCACAGCTTGCTGTTTATCCAGCTTTAGAAATCTGAACCAGTTCCAAATCATCAGTGCTGTGTGACCTCTCTGTGCCATATTTTCATTGGCCTGTACACCCAGTTGACTTCTCTCAGGTCATTTTTACATTTCCCACAGTGTGTCATGTAAAATATTTTACCAAAACCTGTCAGTGTGCAATCTTCATTGCATGAGAATATACAGTCAGCTGACAGTTTATCAGGTACATGATGCTAAAACCAATGCATTCATATTCAGTGAGGCTGTTTGTGTTACTACAGTTCCGTCCAGCTTGAGGCCAGACTAAATATTAGAAACATTTCTCAGGGTAACACCTGGTAGGATTTACTGCACTGCTGTATCAGACTGCACTAGCTTCAGCTACAGTTCTACAAAAACTACATCCAGCAAAATCACCATGAAGTAAATCAACACCTCTAAAAACATGCTAACCAAAGCAAAGGTATCGCCTCTGGATGATCGGCATCCTAGGCTACATCAGTCTGACACATATCCCACCTACATGCTCTAGCTTTGCGACTGCTTTACTGGATGACTAACTGGGCTTTGACATGCAAAACCTTAGCATCATCATCATCACTTCAGCACACAGGTGCACGCACCTGGAGACAGGCCCCCTCGTCCCGTTAACACGCATTCACACTGCCCAGCCGAGTTTGGACTAACTGAAGATACTCGTTTGTGTCTCTGTTATTTTGTAGTCAAATCTAAAAACTTGAATGACCTCGGGACTAGCTAAACCAAACAACCAAGCGGTGCCCCGGGACCGAAGAGTAAACATTTGTTAGCCCGGGATGTTTACAAACAAAGCAAACATCACTAATGCCAAGAGCAGCCTGTAGGCACCAAGATCTGAGCAGAACCTCCTCAAAGCAAACTCCGTGCTCAAGTTACAACCCACGGCTCTGCACAGAAAGTTGAGCTTTTCTGGTTTTAAAGCAAACACACAGACTACTAGTTGTTGTGTTGTCAGTGAGGAGAGCTGCTGCTTCCTACCGGCTGCGCTATTTGATGTGGGAGACACAATTTGGAAAGGGGAGAGAGTAAGAGGTGAGGCACAGAAAATCATCACATTGGGCTCTGCAACTAATTTACCTCGATTTTTCCGAGTTACGATTTCTTTCTGTAGTCTCCGCACTCCGGTAAAGCTTCAGAGATTCGGTATAAAGGGTTATTTCGTAAAGACTTTGCCAATTCCTCTCGCTAAACAATCACTCTGCACATCCAAGATGGCTACCAGGAACACCTCCTCCTCCGATGCCCTGTTGGACAGGAGTCCCGCCCATCTTTCCTGTAATTGGCCCGCTGCGGATAATCCCGCACTTCTATTCGTTAAAGCTAGCTGTCCGCCAAGACAGGCTGAATTTACTACTTCCTGTTTAAATCCTGCTATGATTGGATAATATGGAAAGGTGAAAGGGTAAACAGACTTTTGTTTTATGCCCCTCTCCACTACACCCCCCAATCTCAGTGTTGGCCGCTAGCGTTTGTGGGAAATGTAGTTCACCTCTTCTACTTATCCTCCCAGCAAAATAACACTACGGATTCGTTTATTATTGTTCTAAGAGGTCAGCGTTTATTTTTCATGTACCCTGTTCTTTTAAAACTTTATTTGACAATATGATAAAAAACGTAACTACGTATATAGTACATACATAAGTGTATTTACTCACATTCTCCACTCACTTTTTCCTTATCATGCAACTTTAGACTGTACTCCACTATATTTCACAGAAAAATATTAGCCTTTTAATTCAAAGTGGACGTAAACCATGCACACTGATCTGTTGCTGTAACAGACAGCATGCTGAATGTGACTGCAGCCTCAACAATAACATTAGTGAGTCCAGCACTGATGTGAGGTGATAGGCTGCTTGTTGTGCTTCATGGTCAGTTTACTGTGTAACCGCTCATGTTTTGCACAGTTGCAATTATTCCTTCTTCCACTAGGGAGAGCTGCAGTCAGCAAGCTAAGTAACAGTGCATGATTTCAAGTGCACACAAGAACTATTATAAACTATAGTACTATAATAAAAAAATCTTTTCAGCCATGTTATTCAGTTTGATTTCTTTCTTCACAAATGCTTACATTATATAAAATCTGTAAATCACTTGTCTGGATCCTTGTAAGTCAAAAAATGTTATATTTTATCATATCACAAGAGAAAATGCTAAATCCTTGCAACTCATAATCGAGTTTAGTGCATATTATTCCTGAGCTAACAACCCATCTGTGGTGTTAACTCTAATATTGTCTTTTGCGAGCTGGACTCAAAGAGCTTCTCACTTTTCATGTCTCATGAACCGAGTCCTGAATGTACAAAAATACCCAAACAATCATGCATTTAAGTGAATTTACTTGCTTGCATTCCATATACTGTATTTTACATAGTCTATTATCACATATTTCAAAAATATAGCATCATCAATATGGCCATGTGACTAACTTAAGCAACTGTGTAAATTAGGCACGAGATGTATGAGCATGTATTGTTCAGTGTGAAAGCAAGTATAAAACCGAGTCAACGATGAAGAACATACTTAATTCCCTCTCATATAATAGAAAAAAGGAGCTGAAATAAATTATCTGCCATTTGTAAACACTGGTACAGCAAAATATACTTCACAAATCTTTGTCGTAAATGACACATTTAGTCCTTGACTACTTTCATACCTGCTATATTAAATGTTTGCAGGCATGAGAAAAAAAAAAATCAGTCTGCTTGTTTTCAAGGACATTGTTATTCACAACATACTGCATCTTCTAGTTAAGGTACAGTGTAATTATTGAGGTAAATGAAAACCACAATGTGAAATACAACAAAAAAAGAGGAAAAACCTGCACAATAAATAAAAGGAAGGGGATAAACAAAATCACACATTTACATAAATCAAGCAGCTTGATGGCAAAAATCCACCGCTGTATTCACAGTAAATTAATCCATTCCCTTGACTGTTTTCTCCCTCCGCCATCCTGCTTCTCAGTTTCTGAACCTGTACGAGATCGGCAGCAGCTTGTGAGTCTTCTTCATGGCCTGTACCTTGGTGTGTGTCTGGTCGTCCATGGTCTTGTAGCAGCGGCGGGCGTAATCCAAAAGTTTCTCCTTCGAAGCATCAAACTCCCCAACCTCTGACACCTGCAGGAGATGAGGCCATTAATGTGTTAAAATGTCAGTCAGCTGGCTATAATCCTGTGCTGGACAGATGGTCGTAAGAGAACAACTTTTTGTTGGAAAAGGTTTCTGAACAGCTGCATTCCTCTGCTGCTACCTAGCGGCTAACAAGACGGATCCCTCAAATTTTCACACCCCCCCTAAAGTGGATCACCATCATCATCTCCACCCCTAACATGAGCCCACAGCCTAGTGAGTGGCAGCAGTGTACAGTCTCTTCAGGGCATCTGCAGGGTGTTTTGTACTTGTCAGGGCTCATGAGCTGCTCTCGTGTTATTTTCTCATTTCATGTTTATGTTGATTTTTTCTAGATCTCAAATTCTGTTGAGTTCAGCAGCTATTGTCTAAAAATTGTTTAGCCAATAATCGTTACATACTGTATACATGTAGCATAAAACAAATGTGTATTAGAACTGGATCAGCATTAACAATTCCCTTTACTGCTCCTATAATAATCATGAAATTTAATGTGTAGTTTTGTCTATTGCTTTACAGGCAGCGCATCACTGACACTGATACTGTCGTCATCAAGAAAAGGAGGCGGGTCAGACCTTCTCTGGAGCCACCAGCAGCAGTTCGGCGATGGGGGAAGTGGAGGCCATGGTGTTTCGGTCGACTCCGTGGATCTGGAAGGCTCGGGACATGCTCCTCACCCGCTGGTATGTGGACAGGATCTTCTTGTAACGGATCAGAACCCCGTCTGGGTCTTTAACTAAATAAACAAGAGAGAGCAGGGACGTATGAGCACTGTGCATATAACCCCTCTGTTCTTCACACAGCTGCTGGAAGTGCAGCTGCTAAGTGTTTGGAGATGTAACACAGGCCTATTTATTATGTTTTATTTTTTCTTCTTCTTTATTTCACCATGTTTCTTAGAATGTCTTCATCTTAAATTAAACACTTTATTTTTTTTAACTTACCATTACCACAAGGAATCACACTACCTAACTACCACCCCATCAGTGGTGATAAGGTTCACCACAGTCAATTGTACTTTATTGATTTTAGTGTTTTATTGAAGGTTTGCTGAATTGAATCTGATTGTTGACTGGTGTGTTTTGGTTGTATGCTGTAGGAATGTTCAGCATAGCCTACTTTTCTGAAAATATAAGTGTTTAGTAATAAAGTAGCAATAATATTCCAAGTCTCTCTCCTGAAAAGTTGTTTTTATGAAGGACTTGCTTGTGTTTTCTCAGATTTTATGACAGTACTGAGTTGTTGACATAACTGGTGCTGTTCTTGTGAGACCTAGGTTGTTTCTGCCCTGTCCTGACTCGGGCTCTTTATGAACTGTTGCGGGTTTATGCCTGTGATTATTAAAGCACAATCTTTACTATTTTATTATTGTCACAAACTACTGCTTGTCACTGAAGTGATATTATAGTAGAATAACAGTAACATTAAATAACATTCCTAATACAAGGACAAGGAAAAGTTTAGTGTTGGTTGAGAGCGCTGCCGCTCTGCCTGCAAACACGTTCCCGTGGCTCTGGTTCTTCAGCAGAACCAGTCTTTTCCCTTGAGTGCAACCATTCACACCACCCAGAGCAGATCTACATCAGTTTGCGTTCACTTGCATCTTTACTTGACTTCAGATGCAAACATGTCTGAATACACTCAGAGGCTTTTCCTAATTTATTTCATCTGCAGGACAAATCATTTTGTGTATTTAACAAACCAAAACAGTCTTGGATGACACAGGACCCTCACCTCTTTGCCTCTCCCTCCCGTGGGTGATCCTGAAGATCCTCCTCATCTTCATCCTCGGCTCTCCACCGGCTCGCCCTCTGCTCTTCTTCTTTGAGCCCTTCTCCACTGATGAATCTTCATCTTCATCTTCCTCCTCCTCCTCTTCCAGGTACTCATCCTCAGTGTAGTATTTATCCTCCTCCAGATGAAACTCCTGTTTAACTGAAGCCATGAAAAGTCCACCACAAACAGGGGTTTACAGGTGAAACCTGCCCAGTGGCCTTGAAAAATGCACAGTTTAATATTCCTAACAAAAAGAAAGAAAAAGATAGTGTCTCCAGCTTCCTCACCAGGGACGGCAGTGCTGCGGCGGGTCCGAGACCCAGCCCCCGGTAGGCGTTTGAGGGTCATTCCAGACCTGGTGGTCATGGGGGATGGAGGGGAGGGAGGGCTGGCAGGCTGGAGCTTCACGGCACGCTGGGCATCTGCACACCAATCTGTAACTGTGTGTAATCGTAGTAGCCACAGTGACATTAACAATAACATCTAAAATAAAATAAAAATAATATTACCAAGAAAATTACAAATGTTATGAACCCTCATTTCAAAAGAATGAGTTTTTCATGACATCTCACCCTCCGGACTCCTCATGCTGACGATGAAGCGGTCCAGTTGACAGCGCAGGAAGTTGCGTTCCTCCTCCAGCTCCTCAATGCGCTTCTGCAGCCAGACGTTCTTCTCCAGAGCGACGTACAGGTGAGCTCGCAGGTTAGAGACCAGGATGAAAGGGCTATATGGAGAATGAGGGGACTCCTGCACCCCAGGCTCTGCAGGAGGAAGAGAGAAAAAATCTTATTTAAACTTTTTTTTTTTAAAGAAAATGTTCCTTCAGTCATTGCTTTAGTCACTGCAGCATCATACTGTTACATGACTCCAGTGAAAAAACTGTGGTGGGCCTGCATCAGCACCAGCTATGATCACAGCAGACACAGGTTCAGGTTTAAGGTCATTTCCATATATGCACATGATATATATATAGGAAAACGCAAGGTCGATTCTCCTAAACCCCAGTCTAGACTAAAGGTGAACAAGTACAAACCACACATTTTACAAGGCAGCATTCTCTGCTTCATTTGGATAAAAGATATCTGGAGTGGTTCACAATGTTAACATGGTTTTCTGTAAAAAAAGAAACATTAACTTTGCATCTTAACAATAATGAGGAGCAAAAAGGAAAAATCTAATTCTTAAACATGGAGGAAAACAAAGGAACAGAAGGAAACAACAGAGGAATCGATGGCTGGGCATTTTACAAGCAGGTGTTCTACCCAATAATGTCCATGGCTTGTTTTAGAGTTTTAAAAAACTGTTGAGTAGCATAAGTGGCATCAGCAGCAAACTGAACCCTCCGCATTATGTCAATAATAAAAGTGCTCATGTGTAGTAGATGTGGCGTACCGTCCATCACCTGATGGCCCTGGTTCACGTGATATGCAGGTGGTCTCTCGATACTCTCCTCCAGAGGAAAAGAGACCTCATAGGCATCCAGATACAAACCTCCACCTCCTGCTGCTGATGGTCTTGGCAGGTAGTGCTCTGACAAAAACAATGTTAGTTGATTTAAATATAATTTCCATAGCATGAAATAAAGACAACCTCCACTACCACTATGAAAATTAAAAGAGCAGAGTTTCTATTTTCCTGCAGAAGATGCCATATATTTAATGTGTCTACCCATAATATAGGCTGTTGATTAAACTGATCAGGATCAGGATCTGTGTGGCCTAGTACCACTGAAAAACCAGTTCCTGAGGGAAACCCTATAAAAACCACACAAAACATCAGAGTTCTCCAGAGCTGAAGGTGAAGTCTTCAAATGTTCCAACAGGTCAAACCCCACAAGTGTTACACAACTAAGAAAATGAAAAGAAAAACCCTCCCAATGGAGAAACTGAAACCACAGAATGTGTTGGCATTTTTATTTCAGGACAGAGTTGTAGCTTAATGTGGGTAATTAATGACTAAATGTTTTATATATAATAGAATTAGCTGAAAATACATTTAATAGCGTTATAACTTACCAAAGTTATTCATATACGTGCTTTACATAATAAAAAACAAGTTACATGGAAATAAAACAAGAAAACAGAACCTCAGTAAAACAGTCATAACACTGAAAGACTGGGATGCGCAGTCTTTACAACTACGTTACATATTTGGCCTTTCAGTTATAATGACATTTATGGCGCAGGTTAAAAACTGGAAGTGATTTGTTGAGCCGGAGCTCCAGAAATGCAACCACAGCCCTGAACAAAAAGAAATAACTTCTCTCTTCCTTGTGAATTGCGTTTTAGTCAACTGGCTCTTTACAGTCGACTCTATAACCAAACACTATATTGGCTAATTACTGCGCTTAAAAGTTACTTGAATGCACCCGGTGACTTTAGGACGTTTGCTGCGCACCGTGAATACGCCATTTAAAAGTGTAGCTGTCACCTGGCGGGGTTGCCTCCTCTCTGGTGGCTGGAGGATTCATGGCTGAAGCCTCTGTCGGATCAGCACTACTGGTGAGGGACGACTCGCACGTTTGGATCAACTTCTTATTAATTCTGTGTTCAGTTATACTTCTGTAATACAGCGTGAAGCCAGCCACTGCTGCAGCTCGTCTACCCACATCCGTCACTTTCTGCCGCAATTACCTGATTATAAGTGGCGCCAACAGGTGCACGCGCTCAGCTCGGTTTGACTCACACATGCGCAGAACGGTGGCGTCGTCTCACCTCTGACAGCAACACATTTTGGAAATTCTATTTTTTAAATCCATAAAACAGGACAAGTAACAAGGATATATCTGTTTTTGTTACACAACAGTTGGTGGCGATAATGCGTCGACATTAAAAGAAGAAGGCCGATGAGAAGAAGAAGAAGACAATTTATGTTCTCTAAAAGTTTTATTACCTCAAAGATTTCCATTTTTCTCAAAGTGTAAACTAAATCAACCATGTCGTAATAAGATTTCATATTCCCAGACGTCTACTGCCTACCTTTAGTTTTCAAAAGCAGCCTTTATATTGGCTAGTTATAACATATAATTATATACATGCTATTTTTGTCTGGCTTTTCGTATGAAACAGATTTTTATTTCATCACAGCTAAACTGCTAACATTGTAGAGGAAAGTGTAGTCATAGTGTTTACAAAAGTACATCAAAATAGGAAATAAAATCTTGTAAAAAGGAAAACAAGGCAATAAATTAGGCCACGTATTTTCTAAAGTTAGCTAAAATGTTTAATTTTGAATATACTTGCTTTGCTTTTATAAAATTTCAGTGTTTTTTTCTTAAAATATGTTAAATCATAGAAGAAGCTCTGACCGGAAACACCTGGGGGGCTTATTGTTAATACCAGCTTCTTGATACACACTTCTCACCACTTGGTGGCGGTGATGTGCCAACTCGTTGTTTGCCAACCGCCAATAAACCTCAAATGAAGAGGAAAAATGAACAACAACAACACCTGGGGGCAGGTAGGTGGGGGTGCCGAAGAAGGTAAACGCGGAAGAGAGGAAGAACTGCCCGGTCGGAAGAAAACGTGAAATTAAAGACTTAAATGCTGCAGAACAAACAAGAGTAACACGTGAGTCTAAGCATAAGTGTTAATGATGTGAAATTGTTTGTTCACGGGGTTTTTTCTTTTTATTTGTTTGTTATATTAGATTTTTTTTAATCAAAGCGGTGCAAACGTCCTCAGGGTTTGTTTGGAAATATTTGAAAATGAAATCCAAATGTAAATCTGTTGTGGTGTCATAAAGTCTCAGCTGAATCAAAACTCGCTCAAAATTTCATTATTCCATTGTTCAACCATCCAGTAATAGTTGCTGATTAAGTTTCTGTCGGTGGGTTAGTTGTTTTACAGTAAATGTAGCTTTCTGATGAACCTGTTACACCCAGTCAGTGTGCTATTGTGATGCTTCCTTAGTAGGGCTGCTGTGGTTTCACTATACTGGATCAGTTTCACACTCATTGTGGCATCAGTAGAGAAAAAGCTGGACTGATATTACTCATATTTTGTACCAGTGCTATGATAAGGTTTGAAATGTCAATCCACACATACCTTTTCATTAAAATAAGTCAGAGTTTGATCCCTTGGTTGTGTGTAAAACCTCTGAAACCTGCTTTTAAACAAGGTGAGAACAATTTGACTGCACATTTTCTGAACTAAGCTGATGGATGCATCAGTCCGACAGTACGTGACACTACAGCAGCTGCAGCTCTGACATGTTTCTGTACCTGCAGTTCACCTTGATAACAGGTAATAATAGTCCATCCCCTCCCCTCACAGGATGTGTACCGGCCTGTTCCACTGTAAACTTGCCCTGGCCTTTGCTGTGTTGATGGATTTAGTGGGAGGAGCTGCTCTGCTGGTGGGAGTCTTCGCCCCTCTGGAGATCAAAGGACAGGACTTTGGAGATTTACTGGTCTATACTGGTGTGTTTGTCTCTGCCTTAACCTGCAGCTAAAAATAAAACTTGAAGGGTTAAAATGCTAGAAAACTAGAGAAGAGGAAACAACAAATTTAATGGAAGTTTTTTCCAGACTATGTTTTGGAGGATGGAGGTCTGATGACTTAGTAGATATTGCACTGCACAACATGATGGTGTAAATTATTGTAAACTCAGTCATAAGTCAGTAAATGCATATAAATACATTCAGTGGCAGTAGTAATTATCAGAGTATAATGAAAATGATCATTATTTGCAGCCCTGTTAATAAATGTTGGTGGCACACTGTGCAGGGGCTCTGTTCGTGCTGATGTCTCTGGCCGGGTGGGTGCTGTGGTACAGCGGAAACATTGAGGGGCTGACGCAGCAGAAGGAACTGGGACAGGTCGGCAAGGCCGTCGACCGGCTCGCCCGCACTGTCAGCCGCAAGATCCACACCTACAGGAGCTACCACTGAGGTCCGAGGAGGAAGTCCAGAGGCCCTTTCATTTTAAAACTCTGATGATGCCTGTGTTAGTCAGTATTAATGTGAGATAAAGACACTTAAGACAGATTGCTTGTGTAAAAACACCCTCTAGTGTTATTAGCCTGTCAGAAACATTTCAGTTGAAGGCTGGTTCTGTTACAAACTCAAACTGTACTGTTAATGTGTTACTCTGAGCAGTATTTTTGAGGTTTTTATTTTTTTTTTTGGTTAATGTGTCAGTAAAGCTGTGGTCTCCTGTTAGATTTCAATAAAAACCTTTTCATACATCATGTAAGTTTGTTGCATTTTTAACAATATAAGTACATCTCTTCAGTGCAAATAGACTTTTATGCATTATAAATAAAACATGACAACTATGCAAACAACAAAAATGAGAAAATTGATATAGGAATCATTCAAATATAAACAGCAAAGTGTGTTGCAGGCAAATTCTAAATTTGTTTATATTTACAAAATGTAAATAAGTTGGTCAGTAAAAACCTTTTCTTGTGCTTCTGTTAAATAAAGGTTCAAGGGAATAACAAATTCGAGATTTTAGAGTTTATTGCATTTCGGAAATGTCCCTACTTTTTTGGAAATAGGGTTTGTACAATAACGGGAATTAAAGTGGAGCAGAGAAATCAGTCACCTTGTGGCAAATAAAAACATTACATTAATGCACAAACGACATTTACTGTCTCAGGGTTTTGTATGGTACTGCATTTTTGAATTTTGATTTATTGTGTAGTAATATATTTTTCCCTTTACTTCTTTATGAGCTGGCTTCTTTTGCTCTATATAGTTGTGTTTTACATTCAGTGTGGACAATCAGTACACAGAAGTAGATACAGTCCTGCAGCAAACAGTAAAATGGGAGTTGATGCTCTGCTATTTTCTACTTCGCAAAGTTTGATAATGAAACAGTGATTGTGGCAGAAACTTTGAGAACTTCTGAGGGTGTACAAACCTTTTACACATGCCACAATTACAATAATCAGCGGTCCCAGAAAGCAGATTGCCACATTTTAGCCACTTTTTTGGATTTTATTTATTTTTTTTTTTACAAACTCTGGCAGACACGCCTCTGTAAGTCTTGATTTTCCACTGCCTAGGTTTTCTGTAAAATGACCAAAACAGTGTTCTTAGTTGTACAGGGGTGGATGGTTGTAACACTTTTTACCAGGTCTGATACAACCCAGCCCTGTCAGCCATTGTTTAGCTGTTTGAAATTAGCAAGGGGAAAATTCCTGAGAAACTACAATAAATTTAATCCAAGTCATATGATTTTTTTTCTACAATACCATACTAAACAAAATATAGTCTTAATCAAAAAGTTACATTATTACCTCAAAATCAATTTTTTTACCCTTTCCATCCATGACATTCACCATTTATAACTGGAGGGGATGTGGCTAAACACTGAAATCATATAACTCCTATTTTATCTATAACTGGTGGTGGTATATCTCTCCCTGTGTTACAAAAACACCAATCTTCCTAATTTTACGTTTTAAAAACAGGAAATAGCAGCAGAGCATTAATACTTGACATCTTTTTGCTGCAGAGAGTGGATTCACTTCATTCATTCATTCATTCATTTTCTACCGCTTAATCCCTGAACGGGGTCGCGGGGGGGCCGGAGCCAATCCCGGCCGGCAATCGGGCGAAGGCGGGGTACACCCTGGACAGGGCGCCAATCCATCGCAGGGCGGATTCACTTCTTGTCACATGAAAATCAACAAAAAGCTTTACTTTCTGAGGGCTTCCACCAACTTTGACACTGTAGCCTGTGAGCTGTACTGACCTCTGCTGGTGATAAGTGGGTATTACAATAAAACCCCTCAAAAACCCAGGACCCAAAACATGGTAACACAAAGATGCTCCAATCTAAATACTGTAGGGGAATGTGAGTCTTGTTCTAAGACAGTTTTGCTCAGATTCACGTGACAGGAAGTGATGCCTTGGCAAGCTGAAAGTCCACAACAAACATAAAGAACCTGGCAGTGAGCAGGTGGAACTGTCCAGTTATAATAATAAGAGAACAGATGAGGAAACTGGGAGCAGGTGTGTGACTTAGAGGGAAAGGTCAGGTGACTGGAGGGAAAGTCCAGGGACATCTAGTGGCTGGATGGAAAATGGCAGCTCATGGAAAAAGGGGCCTGAGGAGGTAAGAATGTAGGTAAAGTAAAAACAAATGACACAAACAGGATCAGAGCAGGAATCACGACACCGCTGCCTGCTTGGTAACAAAGTTAGGCTAGGTGGTGGACACAGTGGAGCATGTGGCAGCCATTACTTCAACGATTTCATCCACAGAAATGCCACTCATGTGACTCCAAACAGGTTTTTGTCTGCAGAAATGCTGCAGTTACTGTTTTGGATCTTCCAGATAACTGTTGCATGACGTCTGCTACTCCCTCAAGCAGTGTCGATGGAAGCCATGATGCCCATGTCTAGATTAAATGCTCCTTTTCTCAAAATAGGTTCCTCAAAGTCAAGCCAATGAGCTTTGATAATACTTATCAGCAGCGACTTTCATTCCTTGTACAGACTGTCTGCTGTGCACTGCTGCCACATCCTCCTTACAATGCCTAACAACACCACCTTCACTGCTTCTCTCTCTGTCTCCTCCTGCTCCTCCATTTTAACCCCCCTCTCTGTACAGTCAAAAGATTTCACTTTCCTAGAACTCCATCTAAACCAGGATATGTGTTAGAGGTGAGATTGTGAAAGGGAGAGGATCAGCTCAAGAGCTAAAGGGCGAAAACTACTAATCCAATCTCTTAGTGTTTGTAGCCTGGAGGAAAAATCCCTGTTCTAAAAGAGGAAAGATCTGGATGATAGACAGAGGATGAGGTCCAATATGGTGAGGGTCAAACTCAGTGCTTCCCAAATTCTGTACACAGCTTAAGTTTTTATGTGACGTAGCATTGTGAGATCCATGAACAGTTACATTTAGTGGAAAACAATCTCACTGGTTCCCTACATTCAGACCCTTTTTTTTTGGTCATGAAGAAAATTTTCATTTGTATGAGGAAGCTTGTGTTTCTTTCTGCTCACACTAAAAAAAAGCTATTTTACTTAAAGGGTAACACTGGTTTTACGTGTTCTCTCGCCGAGCTCTCTAAAGCCTCGGCGGACAGATGGCAAAATCCAAATCACCTGTGGAGCTGCAGCGGATGGTGCCAAGAGGTCGGCAGGGTGCTGAAGTTAGGCCCCAGCACGTCAGCAGAGGAATTAAGTTGTTTTATTTAATACAGATGAGATATAAGCAGTTTGCCAAGAAAGCTTACTGTAGCTGCTGTGCTATACTTGTCCTGCAATAAAGAACTAACGCAGCTTTGTCTGAGACAAAAGCAGTGGGCGGAGAAGACGTCTGAAGGTATCAGACGTCATCAGATTGAATGCACATGCATAATACCACATCAGAACAACTCTAAACAAGTAGAATTTGCATTATGAGTGTAGGTATGGCACATGTCCAGTATCAGTGATTGTCAGTGAGGGTTGATATGTCAGAAGGTCCTAATCAAAAGAAACGTGAGTAGGTTAATGCGGGAGACAGGCGTGTATGAAACATAGTCTTTGAGTAGGTGTAGTTATCTTCATCATGAAGGGAACACTAAACAGAAACGTTACTGGATTAATAATTTAGAGGAATCAGAAAATGCTCATTTGAGTAATTTTGAAAGGCAGCAACACACCAGTGTTTTCTTTTTTATGAATTAGAATTTGTTGGACAACTATTAAGCACTTAATGAATATAGGCACATTTTGATAATTAATGTTACTGGAAGCAAGTTTGGGCCAAATGCTGGTGGACATGTCATTATGAAAATGATGAATCATATGCTATGGTCTTCACAGTCACCAGCTCTCAACCCACTTGAACACCTGTGAGGGATTTTGGATTTCAGAATTAAATCCCAAGATTCTGGAGTAGATTCAGTAGAACAGAGGTTTTTTTCCCACTTATTTTAATCTGAACCTAACATTCATCCTAACCAGCCATTTCTTATGCTGCTCAAACTGACTCCAGCCTTACCCCAACCCTGAATAGTTGCCTCTGTCTACTCAAGAATTTTGCAATCTAGCATTTACCCTTTTTGCAGCCATGTTTGTGAACAATACAATAAACATGACTTGACCACATGACAAAAATAACAGCAGCTCAGGAGGTTCAGGGGTTCACATGGGTGCTGCTGTAGCTCTGCCTCAGGGTTATCCCGTTTAATTGACTTATCTCAGCAGGTGGAGGCTGATTTCCTCTGCTGCTCAAAGACACAGCATCACTGTTTGTCCTGGACTCCTGAGCTGCTCACACAGGTAGATCAAAAACGTAAAGATATTCACAACCCTAAAAACTTGGGATATCAAACATGACTACAGAGAAGCTTTTGGTGTTCTTGGATCATTTCATTCTTAGTACTATTTTATTTGAACTAGGTTCAAGTGAGATATGCTCTCTGGAAAAACATTTGTTATGTGGACACAGAGTGCACAAAAACATTTGTTATGTGGACACAGAGTACATAGAGACACAACAAGAAAATGACTTTCCAGATACAGTATATTGGCTGATCAAGTCCAGACGATCCATATTTCTTTCAATCAAGTGTCAACCAAGAACCTTTCTCAACTTTCTGCGTCATACTACACAAGTTTTCATTCAAAATATCAGTTGCGTTATTGCCTTATATAAGTACACTGTTAAATGTGATCCAGTACTGTTTGTACAAGATGCTGCTGATGTGAAAGTAACCACATCCAGCACCAAGTACAAAGTACTTACTTTAAAATAGCAAAGGGGTTGAGAATTGCCAGTGTCCATAAACAAGCCCTTTAGCTTTGACCTTGGTTGAACCTGGTCCGTGACACCTCTTGCTGGTATTACTGGTGGTTCATTGGCTTAAAGAGCTTATCGAGAGACTGCTCTTTTCACAGCATTTGTTTCTGTGGACCTGTAAGCTGGGACCAGGATCAAGAAGCCGACTGCTGCCATATTACAGGAATACCTTTCTGTTAACTACTTTGATAAAGTACCAAAGGCAGCTCCCTGTGTTGAAGTAAAGTTTTAATTGCCCTAGAAGATCTTAAGGGCCACAAATCCACCCTCTGATTTTGCTCTAAAACATCAATAATACCACTTTCAACAATGGGTAACAGCAGGAGTGGGGCAGTGTCCAAGGAGATCCTGGAGGAACTGAAGATGAACACCAAGTTCTCAGAGACTGAGATTGTCCAGTGGTATGAAAACTTCAAGAAGCAGTGTCCAACAGGCCGCATCACAAGACAGGAGTTTCAGAGTATCTACAGCAAGTTCTTTCCAGAGAGCGATGCCAATACATATGCCCAACATGTCTTCCGCTCCTTTGACACAAACGATGATGGCACACTGGATTTCAAGGAGTACATCATTGCCCTCCACATGACATCAACAGGGAAGACCACCAGGAAACTAGAGTGGGCCTTCTCGCTGTTCGATGTGGACAAAAATGGATACATCACCAAAGCAGAGGTCAAAGAAATTTGTTCGGTGAGTTTCTGTGATTTAGGACCCTACACAAGGGTCACTAATATTTTCAAGGGTACAATTTTATGTGCTAAAATTACAAGGTATTTGCTTGCATGAGCACAATTACTTTGCAGGCAAACCACGTTTTTATTTTCAAAATATAGTGCTGCTTGTTGTGACCATCATCTGATCAAATGTCTTTCTTCTAGGGAATATTGTGTCAGAACTTAAGAGATTTTGAGTACGACAGTGCCTTGTCCAGCAGGTGTGCATTAGCGGGAGTACAATAAAGCATGGAGATCAGAGGAGCATTGTAGAATCTCAACAGGATGCTGGATGCATAGCTCTAAATATATAAACATAAATATATCCCAGTTTCCTTTTTTTGTCACATGCACATTAACACCTACTGACTTAGTTATAGCATTGATTTCCCTGTCACCAAATGTAGATGCAGCATTCAAATCTATTTGGCAGGTCATGGACTTATCCTTCTTAGGTACGGTATTTCTTATACACAGGATTAGACATGAACTTACACTAGTAAACAGTTTACGATAAGCCAGCAGAGAGCTTTGGAGGACAGAAGGATATATATATATATATAGCATTAGGAGATCATGAGATGGACCCTATACTTTCAAAAGAAGTTTACACTCAGATGAAGATATCAGTGCTGTAAAATATGCAGAAGTAGATGATGATTTGTGGCCATTTCATACTGTATCTTTTAATGGCTTCAGTACAAAGATCAACACTGGCAATTTTGAAGAACGTAACTCATCACTTCAACCTCAAACAACAGCATTTTCATTATCTCAGTAATGCACCACTAATACCACTGTTTTGGCTACTCAAATATCACAGACTTGCATGTTACTCTGAAATTATTTTTAAAAATCCAGAAATCAGTATATGAGATTAATAGAAGAAAAGAAAAAGTCAAATTCCTCTTCAGTCAAGATAACCTCTTAATAATCTTTTATTTAGACCTTGCAGCTGCAGTGAGATCGAGGTGCTAGTTTTGGTTTTCACAGCACTGCCAATCCTGCTCAGTTTTCCACTGGTGATGTGATTAATCACTGTATTTGGTTTAAAAGTAAAATGTTTGAAATACTGATTGAAAAAATGTATGGTCCATAAACTCACACAAATACACAGTTAAAACTGTTAAAAACGGAACAAAGACAAGAACCTAAAGATGATCACTGTAAAGGTATGGTGTTAGCCTAAAACAAAATTCATTGACAGTAAATTGAAAACAGCCTAAGACCATCTTTTCTTTGACTACAGGCCTATTTATAACCATCACATTTCATTATAAAAGATTAGATTCACAATCATGGCACAAAGCCAGAGAGGCCAGAGACCAGCTTGGGCTAATCCCTGGCAACACAACAATTTTGTTGCTGTTTTTGTCAACAGACATATGATCAGCTCACAGAAGTGACAAAATAGTTGAGATTAAAGGAAGATTTGGGTGTGATGGCTCCGCTCTGTCTGCAGTCACGAAAGCAGAATTCATATTAATTTCAGCTATGATAAAAGAACAAAGAATGAGGAAGGTGGTGGGGACTCTTCTTTATGCACAGTGACACAAGGCAAATAGAGCAAATGAATTGCTACAATCCATTCATAGACAGTGTTTTAGAAAAAGAATCATTTTCTATTTCTGATCAATCTATGTGTTCTTCTTTTCTCCTCTAACAGGCGATTTTCAAACTGATTCCTAAAGATGACATAGTTTGTCTGCCTGAAGATGAAAACACAGCTGAGAAGAGGGCAGATAAACTCTGGAGGTTTTTTGAAAAGGGTGACAATGGTGAGATAAAACAGTGTGGATGGTGACATGATTGGTTATATAGATTAGACTCTTGCTTCCGATTGATCTATCTCTGCCCATTTGTTTGAGTAAACCAATGAAAATATTCTGTGTCCTGAACAGCTCTGTTTGTGGAAACTAATTCCAGCCACCTACCTGATAAATGAAAGGATCTCACATCTGACAATGAAACTGACCATTGCACCAATGCGCTTTCAGGCAGCTCTGCATCTGTAATCATGTGGAATATGAGGTTGATGCATGATTAGTTAGTTAGATATCAAACACACATAACGGAATATTTGAAACTGATCATCTGTGTAACCAGCCTAGGGTTAAGATGTCACTATTTTTACTGTGCTATTTCACAGATCAAAGTTGAACAAAAGTGAACTCTGACCTCTCATCAAATTCAAAAGAAAAAAAAAATCTTGAATTTGTCATTTGTATGGACTTCAATTAATGCAAAAGACAACGTGAAAACAAAGATGCAGTAACCTGCCACAGATGTGCATTAGGTGGTACAAGATGAAGTATAAAGAACAATATCATCTGCATACAGGATGATTTTAGAGACCTTCACATACTGTATATTTAATTGGCTTTAAGACAAAGATTAAAATTAAAACATTGATCACTTTTCACAAATGCGTGAATGAAAAAAACATCCAGATATTTATGCATCACATCCACTGAAGTTGAATACCCAGTAAAGAAGTATCTGCCTAATTTGACTGCATTACAAATGCAGTCAAGTTGGTCAGTTGTACAATTAGGTTTGTGAGTCCAACTAATTGCAAAGACTTCAAAACTTATTGTGTATTTAATATGAAATTGTTGACGAGCTTCATTAAAGAAGTTCTTTTAAGACTTGTCTTAAACTTACTTCACTAACCTAAACAAACAATCAAACAAACAAAAAAAAACCTTGTGCCTCTAAATGCTTCTTCTTTTCCTTCTAGAACGAGTGGCAGAAGGAGAGTTCATTCACGGAGTGTTGGAAAATGTTTGATTCAGTATCAGCCTGTAAAGTAACAGTTCTATCAAACAGATTCACTGTATCTCTCTTGAGTCATGTCTTTTCCACTTTACCCTTCACTCTTATAATGCAAAGACACCTGATGGCACCTTAAATGTGAACACAAAGTGTGACTATATTACCCCATGCTCAAAATTAAATAATGATACATAATCGCATGCAACCTTTGTTATCACCACACCTGCACTGTCTGAGCTATTTTCGTTTTAAAAACACAAGAGACTGCCTCCAGGTTACCTGCAATTGCAGTTATTATAGAAATCATTATTGTGAAATACAAAGCAATATTTCCTCATACACGTAATGCTAATCCACATCTAAATAAAATGTGTATGTGCTTTTTCTGCTAAGATTAGCTGCATCTCTGAAATTGTAATAGATGATGCACATGCTGTATATCAGTGTCAGTTTCTGTAGTTCCATATTTTAGACAGGAATGTTTTTTTTTCTTCAACTTGATTGACATGTAGCTCATGGCTTAACTGCAACAAGAGCAGGAGGCATCCGCTATTATTGTCTAATTCTGTGACTTTTAGAGTGTTCAATTCATCCACATGGCATCATCCTACATGTCTGATGCTCTTGTTAAGTGATGGATAATGGAGAATAGTTTTGACCATACACAACAACATGTTAAATAAGTGTTGGTCCTGGATTTTTCTTCACAATAAATTCAATAAAACAAAACCATGAAAGTGTAATAAAGCCTAAGGTCAGAAGTTTTCTTTTTGCTCTAACTTTAGCATGTCCTCTAAGAACACAAAATAAATGCCAGTACATAGCATGCCATTTTTAACAGCTATTACACCATAATTAAACTTCAGAAGGGGTAAACTACACCTTTCACTAGGCCAGTAGGTGCATATCATTGATATGTGTTTAAATTAGGCAACTTCTAATGGCTGTAGTAATTCTGACAGTAATTCTGACAAAGCATATATCAACAAATAGCAAAGTAATAGAATATTACTGGAATTAGTAACTCTAAGTACTGATTTTCAAATCCCTTAATTTATTACACTACTTCTTACTGAAAAAATGATCACATTACTGCCCAGCAGGAGGTGGCAGGAAATGGATGATTTGCTTGGTGGAAACCACACTGGAGCTAAAACAAGAGTGAATAACTTACATTCATCAGGTGACCACAAACACGACTGCAAAGGATGATAAAGTTGCACTGTCTGCAGGAGGTGTGCATAGGTGATTCCATAACAGGTATAACCATAACAACGCTATTAAAACAAAAGTGTATAAGAGCTGGAGTATTTCTTCGCCCTAAAATAGCACAACACTGGCATTACTGTTGTGAAACTGCTGCACAATAATATGGTCTACAAATGCATCATGCTATAATTAATATTTGAAGCTGCATATATACAAAACATTATTGAAGGTGCGTTATAGTCTTGTAGTCTTTGAGTGTAATTTCAATCAAATATTTTGCATAACATCTGTAACACCGTCTTCTGTCCCCAAAGTCTTAACAAAGTGAGTCCTCTCTCTCCTGCTGCAAAGTGTAATCTATCTCATCCACCTCCCTTTCACAGTCTTCACATCCTTCAGTGCCACATCCCTCCATTACCACCACATCATGAGATTCCACTTGCCTTCCTCCATATACTCCAGCTCCTCCTAAACCTCCCATTGCTCCCAGTGCTCCCCCACCCATTCCCCTGACTCCTCCTCCTACTCCTACACCAACCCCCCCCATTCCATTTCCTCCCATTCCCATCCCAACTTCAGCAGCTCCCATCCCTTCAATTCCTCCTCCACCAACAAGCAACCCTCCGCCCACACTGCATGTCAGAGGTCTCACTCCTCTGGGCCACAGTGGGACCATGAGCACTCCCTGCTGGCCGAGCTGAATCAGCTGACTGACAGAGTAAACTCCACTGCCACCAGCTCGAACGACCTCCTCATAGGAAGGGGCATGAACAGCAGCTCGAGTCTCCTCCAGCTTCACCCGGGCTCGGTGCTTCAGCTCAACGATGGTCTTGGTGTAGGAGTTTAGTGTGGCCACAGCAGCCGCCATACAGCAGCTGAACGACAGCCATGCCATGCTGGGAGCACAAGGAGGCAAGATTTGGGAGAACATTTCAACCTTCCTCATCAAACCACAAGCAAATGCAATTGTTTGTTTAAATGCTCAGTAAAACCAGCTAATGGATACCATGTTAGCTATCTAGCAACATGTCAGCGTTCATCAGTCCTAGTCTTGGAAATCAATGCAATTTTGGCGGCTATCTAGGTAAAGTACCCAGGCATGTTGATCCCTGGCTGCATAGGCTAGCACCTTCACTTTAATGAGTAAAATCTGTGTTAAGTCCGATGGTTTTAGGAGATAAACTGTGGGGAAGAAACATACGCGAAGGACCATCCATAGTCCCAGGACTGCGGCCTCCAGTCTTTGGGCCCAATGCTCACAGTCATCTGAAACACTGTGGTATACATCATATGAGCTACCATCCCCATCAAACCTGGCAGAAAGGAAAGGACAGAGATAGTTAAAAAGAGAAAAATGGAACAGTGAGTCAAATTGGTTAGGAATTAGAATTTTGTAAAAAGAGCAAAGATGAAGTTTTGAATGTCTGGACCAAGGAGGAAAAGCAGACAAAAACTAGACAGCACTCAGAGCGCAAACCTCCACCAAGGCCGACTAGTTTCCCCATAATGCCATTACACTTAAAAGCAATGTTCCCATGATAGTTTTATCTCCATGAAATGATTCCTTGACCATGAAAACCTACCCCCAGCATCTGAAATCACACTGATGATATGAGTAGTTATTCAATAAAAACGATATTTTACTAATGGCAGTTTTCATTAATGTTCAATGTCATTTTATAAAATACTCAGCAGAAAGTTTCCCTGTCCTCACCTGAGAGGACTGTGCACATGGCAGCAAAGGCATTGATCTTGAGGGCATTCATCTCCCTCTGGAGTGGCAAATCCCTTCCAGATACAGCAGCAGGAAACCTGTGGCCAGCAGACCAATGTACAGGAACTCACTGATGATGGACAGCCAGAGGACTCCTGGAAAAAAATGTAAAATGTATCTATAATGGGAATAAAACAAAGAGCTTCTTTTCCTTTTCTGCAAAGAGCAAAAAGTTCAGGTGACTTGACTTGTTTGGTTATGTTTTTGCAACCTTGTGTAACTGCATATGAAACAGAGGTTGTTTCCTCCATCTTCTGCTTTGGAAAAAAGCATAAAGCTTGCTCTAACCTTGGGTCTCTCCTGGTGTCAGCTCAATGAAGCTGCGGCATTTTTCTTCCTGATCATCACCTGAAAGAACAAAGTTTAGATATCCCTATGAACACAGTGAGGTTCATAAAAAAAGGTTTCTTTCCCACATTTTTGGGGAAGAACTTGACTGTCCTGACCTTAACCCCCTCCAGCATCTTTGGGATGAAGCAAAACACTGACTGCAACTTATTTCAACATAGCATTAAGACTTATTCTTTGCCTGTTCCTTTATCATTTCCTTATTCCTTATCAAGTGGGAGACAAAAACAGAAGCTGAAAAGTGTGGAGCCCCTGAAGTCTCAAGACAAGACAGTTTCTAAACATTTTGGTCTTAAATTTCACTGACTACAATGTCTTGCCTGAGACAGTACACCACCACAGACTAGTAAAAGTAGCTGAGTACTTTGTTGGACACCTACAGTTTTCCACTGATGAGCTTCCAACCAAAAGTGCCAACTCAACTGTTGAGCCAGCCTGTCATTCTGCTCACCAACCTTCATTGTGCTTCTCACAGGAGAGCCAGAAACCAGTATGGAAGTAACGCAGCATGTACTTGTCCTCGCCCGTCTCCCAGATGTAGTGGACGGCGTTGGCCAGCTGCTTCCTCTGTAAAATGGCCAGCTCTTCTCTCTGCAGCGGAGACAGGGTCACGTTGAAAGCCGAGCTCTTGGGGTCCAGGGTGGGGAAGTCTGGACAAAGAAAGATGGGACAAAGTAAAACGTTAAAGTAGTAGAGTCAGAAGCAGGATGAGTTATCTTCAGCGGGCAGCATGGGATTGTCTTTATGGCCAACATGCCAAGAAACTCGGACATAAATCCTACCGCAGGTCTTCTGGGGGTCACAGTGTGTAACACACTCCAGCCCTGAAACACTGCTCTTTAGCTAATCTGAGGTTTATATGTGGTTCAAATTGAAGACGACATGAAAACAAATAGGCTTAGTGCTGAAAGACAAGACAGTGGTTTAGAGAGCGCAGATAACACACAGCTGTAGATACACAGATTAGCAACAAAGCTGGGATTATGTGAAGCTCTGCCAAGTGTAAAATGCTTATATACAGGGTGAAAGAAGACCATTGTGCATGCAATAAAATCTTCTACCAAACTATAAAAACTATATTAATAGCTATTCTAAAATCATCCAGGACCACAGCATACAAATCTATATTACATTATTTTTGCATTTATGTAGCTTTGTAGAAAAGACAATGGCAGCATGTAGGTGGGTTTCTCATGTTTGATCTGATTCTGTTTGTTTGACTTACAACATTCATGATTATGATGAAAAGAGATCAAGTCAATCCAAAGTTTAACAATGAACAGACTAAAAATACCACATGTAACCTGCCTGTCTAGATGTCTTTTCCTGCCCTCACCTATGGCAAAGTCTAGGCTGTTGTTCTTCGCGCAGTTCTTCATCTTTACAGGTGACAGGCAGAGCGGCTTCACCACCTTGTGTGTTCCCACACACCAGTAGGAGGTGCAGAAAGCCAAGACAGACAGGGAGAGGGCCAGTGAGGTGAGGGACAGGGACAGCAGGGAGCGATTACGTCTGGACATCTTCTCCAGCATGGCTGCCTCTCCACTCTAATACAAGCCTGGGAGAACTTAGAAGGATGAAGACCAGAGGAGGGTGCTTCAGCTTGACTTCAACAATGGCTCCAAAATAGACAGATATCTAAATCTGATCCTTAATCAGTCCCGCTCTCAGGTCAGGTCCCGTTCTTCAACCTGTTCCTCCACCTCTCGGGAGGGATTGAGCTCCTGGAGGAGTGATTAGTCCAGGATCTCAGGCCTACCTCTGGTCAGAAACTAAGGTCCACTCACTGTCATGCCGTCTTTGTCTGGACGACCCCCTAAGGGGAGGGAAGCAGAGGCAACCATGTGGATTAGTACAAGTCATTAGTCATTAAGCTGCACTTCATTCATGACTATGCTGCATGACGTTAATATGAACATGAGTCAATGAAACATGAATCTAAATTTCAGGGTTTCATGGATTTTTTTTAAATAAATGTTGAAAATACAAAACTTTGTGGAAGGAGTTTATATTTTCATTAATAGCAATCACTGATTCCAGGTGTAATTGAGAATAAATGTCACTAGAGTTTGTGTCGACATAGCTCTGACACAGTGCTGCTTAACTTTAACCAGGACTAAAGGATTTCTTTTCCATCAGCTTTGTTTTACTTGTAGATTGCAGTCAAGTTGTTTACTCAAACTAAATGGTTTGACCCAGTTTTACCTTAAAACTGTCACAAATGTGTTGTTAGTTAACGATAGAATAACGTGTACAGGACAAGCACAGTAAAAAAAAAAGGTGGTTTGTTGCTTTTCCTGTCAGACACCCTAACTACCATCGCTGCATGATGAGCTGAAATCTTTCCCTCAGAGATGTGATTAGAAAATCCAGCTGCTGTTCACACTCAGTTTACACACGAGCCAAAAAAAAAATCAAAATTCATAAAACAATCCGACTCACCTTGTTTGTGGCCCCAGAAGAGACTGCGTGCACTTCCTCCATCTTTCCTCTGCACTTCCTCATAACTCCCATCTCCATTTTGGGTGAGTTTCCATCAGAAACCCACCCAGTTTTTCCTCTAATCCTCACAAGTCCATCTGTCACTTTCCCTCCCCTCCTCTCCCTATACTGTGTCCATTCATCCTCACAGCTCTCACAGTTTCTCGATCTCTCCCCTTCCGACCCAGCAGCACAGTAGGGGACAGCTTGGGCTGAGATGAGCGTGACAGTGCTATGGTTTCGTGTTAAAACACCAGATTTTGCAGCTTCATTACTTTATTTGGCTCTTTGAGAATGACAAAAAGGACAGAAGGAGATTCTAGAAACCTCAAACATAAAGAAACCCCGTGAGTAGATTGGTATCTGTATGAAGACACATTTGTTACAGTTTTCTATGTAAAATTTAGGAAAAGCTTCTCAATCAAGAGTTTACTGTTGACAGTTTTTATACCTACATGAAACTCTGTTAACCTCACACCCAAAATGCAACAAATAAAACTGTAAAATAAACTGAGAATTTCAGTTTATTTAAAGTTCCACTCCAGACATGTTTTAAGATACAGAAACACTGGGGTTTGAATAACATTTCATATAATTTTTTTTTCCTCCGCTTATCCGGGACCGGGTCGCGGGGGCAGCAGTCTAAGCAAAGATGCCCAGACTTCCCTCTCTCCAGACACTGCTCCTTGAGGGCAATGCCGAGGCGTTCCCAGGTCAGCCGAGACAACAATTTTCTCACAGAAATTGAAGTTGAGCACACACACTCCTCCTTCCTTAAAAAAAAATCCAGAATTTTTAAATGTTGAATAATTAAGTCTAATTTTGTTTTCAGCAAAGACGCATCACGTTCAGTTTTAATGAGTGATGTTTGGATATGTGTATATATGGCCCTCTTGTGGTGACAGCAAGCAGGTTGTTTATCTTTATCTGTCCTTAAGTTCCCAAGAAAGAAAAGGGAAGTGAGTAAAAATAAAAATCCACCTGTGTGGTGCCCAGACGTAAAGGGTGAGGATCCTGCAGAGCAGAATGACCACAGAGCAGCGGGCATGTCACTTCTTCTATCCTTTTTATTTCTCAAATGCACTGCATACGTCACAGTTTACAACACAGTTTTAAATTTAAATACAGGCAAAATAAATTCATTTCATACAAAATTAAATTTGAGAAATAAAACCGTGTTTTCCCATCTCCATTGTTCTCCACTAGAACTCCTGGAAGCTACACTTTCTTTCAGTCCATTTCCCACCAAAGAAGAACACACAAAGGACACACGTGCCTAAGAAACACAAACAATACCAACAATTCAAAACTAGGTAACCTCTTTAATGTAACTGGTTCTGTTTGCTTTCAAGGTGGCCAAATTTACTGAGCCGGTTCCCACTGAACTCTGCTACTGTTGCTAAAGACAAAGTGCAACTTCTGTCTGTAGAGCCCAGAAGAAATGGGAAGTGGATCCCTCTGCACATATTTGTGTTTCTGCACAGGTGTGTGTTGAAATATTTCATTTATCACTCACACAGCAAATAGAAGAGACCCAGGTACACACAAATATGGTTACAGAGGAGGATCCGCTGAGACGGCATGCACGTTACAGAAGCAGATATGTTGAAGTTCGGTTTTTATTCAGCCAACACTGCAGCTAAACGTCACACAACAAAACATTTCTGCTTCCTGGCTAATGCTGGGAGACAGAGATCCACAGCGGATCCAGGACAGGGACCATAAAGCCACCGTTGGTTACTGACTTGACAGTGTTTCAGCAGCCAATAAGATTAAAGCCCATCAGACCTGACGTCACATGTGATCAATACCCGCAGATGTATCTGCTAGAGGTCATCCTGCACTGCTGCATCAATAAATAATCAAGCAATAAATAGATCAATAAATAGTTACTCAGAATAGTAACACTTTGATTTACACTATAATCCAAGGTTTATCTGTGATTATTTCCACTATTTACATTATCACACACTCTGCCTTGTGCAAACACACACACACACACACACACACACACACCAACAGTGATGTACTTCCCAGATCAATTCAGTTAATGTTTTACAGAATCACTCACATAGACAGTAGTTCTTCACTGTTTCCACACAGACACACACTCAGGTGGTCTCTGCCTCTGAAGCTGGTGCATGAGAAACAAAAACTTACTGATCCAAGAAGTATGCACGCTGAAACACATCTCATCATACATTTACACCATGGCTGTTGCATTAGCTGGACATGTGGAGAGCTCCAGGACCGAAGGGAAAGGCTGGGGAGCTGATGGGTTTAACTGTAGTGTCATCAGCGTGCTGTTGCATCTACTGCTGCCAATCATCCCACGTTTATCGTTTTCTTCCAGGCTGCCACTGATTTGGCTCAGCCCACCACCAAACACTGAGCCTGCTTTACTGTGAAAAGTAACACAATCACAGCAGCTTCCAGCCAAGATTCTTGTAGAGCTGTCACAATTAGTTGATTAACATATCTTTCATTTGGCTTTTTTTTATTAACTATCACAAATATTCACTGTCTCTAGCCTCTCAGATACAAGGACTCAATGGTTTTCTCTGTTGTAATGGCAGCAAAGGTATCTAAGGGTTTTGAACAGTCATAATAAATCTGGCATCACCTGGGTCTGTGGGCATTGTTCATTACTTTCTATCATTTTATAAACAAAATGATTCATCAATTAATTGATGCTGATCAGAAGATGAACGCGTTAATGAAAATAATCAGATTCCTGCAAATGAATTACTATAGTTTATGGCTAATAATCACCAGTAATGAACACATGTACAGCTACTCCCTGCGGTGCTTTAACTATCTGTCCAGAAAACCAAACTTCATTTTACAATTTGGATACCAGAAAGAGAGATCCCATGTCAAATTATCAGAACAGGAATGGATTGTTATTTTTGTTCACAGTCTTAGTCAACCCACTGCCTGAGAGAAGCTGCGGCTGTGTTAGGACACCGCCCCCAAGCTCTGAGGTTGAACCTGCCAGGTGAGCCACTCCTATTCGTTGACTCCCTCCAAAGAAACTGGATTGACCCATTCCTGTTCCCAGTAAAAGAGGGTCTGCCATTGGATTCCCCATCAGAGATCCAGACTGCACCGCTCCCACTCCTCCACAGGGTGGGTTCATGTTAGGTCCCATTTGTGGACTCCCTCCTACTGAAATAGGTTGTACCATTCCAGCTCCTGAGCAGGGAGGAGCCACCTGAGCTGCTTGAAACATATTAAAGCCAGAATGAGACCCTCCCATTGTTTGGGAAGGTAGTTGAAATAGGGGCGTACCACTGTGAGGATAAGCAGCTCCAAAAGTGGGTGACGATGCATCATGGAAGGGAGCAAAGGTGGAACCAAAAGGACTGCCATGTAGGGCTGATGTCACGCCCCTGGCTTTGAATGTGCCTGGGAAATTAGGAGCAGTAACAGGAGGATGGAGGGAGGGAGATACAGTGTGAAGTATTGCAGCAAAGAGTAAATGCATCAAAGCAGAGCAGAGACAGGGGTGAGAAGGGTTACACACCTACTGGTTAATATACACTAGATTCTATACTATACACACACGCAACAACATCTATACACTACAGTGAGACCACAGGGGAGGGTGGTTAGGCAAAGTACATGACTGCAGTCAGTTTTTCCATACGGCCCTCACCACTTCTCTGCACTGAAGATGAACAGTATCAGAATGAAGGACCACGCAGTGATTTGTCAGTTTTTGATGTTGGTCATGCTCCCATTTGAATCAAGCGCACCACAAGGGATTCCACATGAAGCTTTTGTCAAAAATTGCACTTTTCACCCAGAATAAAATGTTTTTTCTGTCCTTACCGATGGCTTGTGTCTGGGCAGCGAGCGTATTGGTAAGGGGGCGATGTTTAGGTTTGGGGTGTGAGGAAAACAGATGGTCCAAGTCAACCAGCGATGCCCCCGCCGAGCCCAAGAATGAAGCAGTCTTTTTATACATCTCCTCTTTCTGCGTCGTCTGCTCTCCTGCAATAAAATACAGGTCCAATTCTATTCTAAAAGGCATTTTCTTTTGGGGACGGGCCAGGGAGGAAGAGAGAGCAAAGCGGAAGAGAAGGTTAATTTATTAAGGTTGTTAGCCAGCTGCTGACAGATGGGGAACTGAAGATGAACTTGAGAAAATAGAGAAAAATGACTGCACATGCAATTAATCTTAGAATGTATGCAAGAAAAGTGTTTGATCATACATGGAAGCACATAAACAGACTCAGAGAGACACAATTTAGTTTTTAGTGTCACCATTCTCAGCTGAGCACTGGGCCAAGTGGCACAGAGTGGCATTGATTATAAACAAGTACAAACTGGAGCAGATCACTCAGAACAATTGATTTTATCAGAGTGAGACATTTACTAGCCGAGTACAAAGCAGACAGTGAGTTTTTACCCTCATGAATAATAGAAGGATGACAGAAATGTACATATAGACAGAGTGTAAAGTGCAGTTTACCTGTGCCATTGCTGGATGCACCCCAGGGATCACTGGTGTGAGATGCTCCGTCTCCAAAGGGGTTGCTAGATGGGGATGAGTCTGAGGGCGGAGCGGGTGAACCCCAGGCATCATCTGCACTAACTGGAGCTGCAGGTAAATGGGGAATATCACAGGCAGGCTCAAACATGACACAACCATAATATATTAGTAAGACTGCTATTTCAGTCTAATGGCTTCGTTTCATCTGTGATAAAATATTCTCAACATGAAGTTCACTTCCAGTTTTCACCATATTAAACAACCTTCTTCAGTAGAGGGAACTAGGTGTAATCATGCGAGCTGAGTTCAAAATACCACAGGGATGATGGTTAACAAGTGGCAAGATGAGGACATAGCCCTTGTTCTGTTGAAAGATGGTCACTGGTGTCAGATGCAAATGCTTGTTGAATTCTCGTTCCTTGAATACTAGATAAATGTTCCAGCGGGCATGTGACACCAAGATTATTCCAGTGAACTCCCTCTGACATGGGTTTGGGTCCCCTTCCCCACACAGCTATATACAAATATAACAGATGGTCTGTGATGACAACTCAGCAGGTCCCATTCACTGTGGGACACAGTTATAAGCTTAAAAAAAAGCTTCTAAGTGAATCTTGAGTTTGGAATACTTTATCACAGAGATCCAAGAATCAATTTCTATGCTGAAGAATTTCTTTATTACCTGATGCCCCCCATGGGTCATTGTCTGGTTTGGATGCATGCCCAAATGGATCAGAACTATCAATGGGTGAGGAGCCACTTGCCACATCCTCCCAGGGACCTCCACCCTTTGTTTCCTTTGGAGCTGATGACGTCCCCCAGGGATGTGACCCAGTGGCAGGTGGACAACTGGCAAGGACTCCCCATGCATCTCCACTGCCTTGGGGTGAATTCAATGGACGGACACCAAAGGGATCTGAGGAATCATCTTTTGGTGGGCTGGATGAGACTGCGAAGGGGTCATCTTTAGGATGTGTTGTCGGTGCAGTGAAGGGGTCATCCTTTGGAGGTCTGGATGTTGCGGAGAAAGGATCCCCTTTGGGTGGTGTAGTTGGTGCAGCAAAAGGGTCGTCTGAGGTACATTTAGCTTTTGCAGAGAAAGGATCTTCTTTAGGGGGTGTTGTGGGAGCAGTGAATGGGTCATTTTTAGATGACGCTGGAACTGCAAATGGGTCTTCTTTAGGGGGTGTTGATACTGGTGCGGTGAAGGGATCATTTTTTGGAGTACTGAATGGGTCATCTTTTGGGGTATTAAAAGGATCGTCTTTCAGGTTATTAAAGGGATCATTCTTTAGAGCGTTAAATGGATCTTCTTTTGAGGAACTGAATGGATCATCTTTCGGTGTATTAAATTGATCATTATTAGATGAACCGAAGGGATCTGGTTTATCTTTTGGAGCAGCAAATGGATCATCCTTGTCTTCTGGTGCACTGAAGGGGTCTGAACTGTCTTTCAATGCACTAAAAGGATCATCTTTTGATGCACTAAATGGGTCGTGTTTAGCTTTAGGTGCTGCAAAATCTTCTCCATTCTTTGGTGCAGCAAATGGATCATCATCCATTGTTGTTGCTGTGAAAGGATCTTCATCGGTTTTAGCTGGAGCCACCCAAGGATCACTGCTAGCTGCCGTGTCGGTTGTCTCAGGTCTTGTGGGGGTGCCCCATGGATCTGTGGCCTCTATAGGTTCTTTGGGGGCTCCCCATGGGTCTGGTTTCACCACCTTCTCTGCTTTATCTCCTTTAATGTCTCTGCCTTTGCCTGCATCCTCCCATTTTAGCTCCTCTTCACTCATCTTGGCCTAGAACATAACTGCAAAATTAGAAACTACTAATCTATGCATGGCTTAGATCCTACATGTGTCTAGTTAATACCACATTCCAGAAGCAAACCTGTTCATGTCTGGGTTGGAAAGTCCAGGTTAACAAGACATCAACTTTTTTCTTTTTTTTGAAAAAGGCCTCAAACATCAATTGAAAACAAAAAATTCCCTGAAGTGCAAACAAAAGTCTTTATACATGACTTTTTTCTATCCATATATGTTGTTCCGTCTGTCCATCAGTCAGCCACTTTGGTCCAAACTAAAATATCTCAACAGCTGAACTCCTATGAAATGTTTCACAGACACATGAATTATAATGACTCCGGTGAGTCCCTGACATCTCCTCTAGTGCCATCATGTGGTTGCTATATATAGTTCAAAGTGAAAAATCTTGCAAGAAATTTATCAAGATATCCATGGAGAACTTCAGATTATTCAGTGACTCCCAGAATTTGGTGAAAAGTTATGAAATATCATGAAACTGCATTAGGTTTTGGTTGACCATTTAATGTATATTTGAGTGAGAAATGTATCTCACCTATAGCTGGACATGATGAACGAGCAGATAAAGGTTTAGTGTCTCCCAGGATATAGTGGATAGGATAATTTGTGAGTATTTTGCCTCCAACCTAACATTTACCCAACAGTGTCTCAAAATTCAAAAATAAGCTTCTTTGATAAATACAATCTATAAACTTGATGGATATACAGGGAGCAGACCCAAGGACACATTATTTTTGGTGAGATTTTGTCAAACTGATGCTGATCTATGTAACTCTGGTTATTTTTGATGCCATAATTTGTTATGGAACTCGACTGGACTGCATTATTTTGGTGTAATGTTTATGCTACCACTATAAATAAACACTGTATTTGCTACAGACTCACCCTTCTCTCTGCTTCTTTCTTCTCAGCTTCCTGTCTAAGACGCTCCTCTTTGCGGGCAGTGAAGGAAGCGGTCAAGTCGGCCACTGAGGGTATGTTGTCTAAGGATGGAAGCCCTGTGGCCCCGGGAACATAGCACGGCTTGTAGCTGGAATCCTTGGTGATGTCTGAGGATGAGGCTGTTTAGAGGTTTAAAGACTAAATTAGATTTGTGTGAAGAGAATTTTACAAGAACAGTTGAAACAATGGGCATTTAGCAGTGATACTGTATGACAGAAGGGCTCACCAGCAGATCCTTTTGACGTCTTCTCTCTGGTCTTGATGGCAAAGTCTCGTTCCTCTTTTAGTTTCTCATCGTCCTCCATAAGAACGAGGACAACCTTGGCCTTTTCTCTCACATTCACACCCTGAGAGAAATGTCAGATTTTACTTTGGCTCTGACTATTTGAGCAAAACCCAATCACAGCCTGAAAAACTCCACGCTAAATTGTTAACCTGGCCTAAAAGGTAAAACAATGAATATGGTGACATGGATGTTACAGTGCCAATAACCTTAATGCATGGCATGCAGCCTTTTGCTTTGTATGTCATCAGGAAGCATGAATCACCTGATCTTTGCCATCCTTTTCTACAAAGCGGTACTCGGTAAGGGCTTTGACGATGTAGATGTTTTCTTTCATTTTCAGGAGCACACGGTCGTCACCGGTCTTTAACAGATACTCCAGAAGGGTTAGGGACTAGCATGAAAAGAAAAGAAAAAAAAAAAGGATGCCAAACAATGTATGTGAAACAAAAATATATATGACTCAAACAAAAATAAACTGACAGTTCAACATTATCTTTTTGTTTTTATATAACTGGGGGATTCATCAACCAAAACCACAATTAAAAAGGAACAAAACAAATTTCTGTCTAAAATCACCACTTACTTATGCTTCCCACTAAAATAGACCATTTTATTCCAGCACTCCACAAAGCTGCTAATGCTAAAAAAAAATCATTAGTCTGGGAAACATACAGTAATTAATGTTTTCACATTAAAATTAGACTGTAGAAACACACTTTGATTGGCTTCTTCCACAAATAAATGTCATATTTCAGACTAATACTGAATGTCAGCATAAAAATACTGGCTGTTGACAGCCTCAACACAGAAGACTCCTACTTGGCCTTCCAAAGCCAGCATTGTTTAGTCTATGTATGTAATACGAGACAACAGCAACCTGACATTTCAAGGTTAACAGTACAGAGAAGTGGCTGTAAGATGCAGTGTGATCACCAAGCAGGGGGCACTGATGTCCTTCATTGTTATTCCTTCTCCCCCTGTCACTCACCTTGTGGATGTGTCTCCAGTTCTTGTCATCTTTCAGGCGTTTCCAGAGCATCGTCATGATCTCATTGCAGGCCACAACATTGTATGTCAGATCAGAGATATCAGCCATCTGAGAGCTGGATGGGCCCCATGGGTCATTAGATGTTGCCTCTCTCACCTGCAAAAGAAGCAAAGTGAAAATTGATATAGTGGTAGTCTAAAAGTTGGAGATAGAGGAGATAGATAGCTGGACACAGAGAGACTGGCAGGAGTGTAGGACATTCACCTTGCTGCTGCCAGCCCATTACTTTAACCTCTTTATCTGTCCTCTCAAACTTATGTTGAGCAAACAACAATTCAAAGATCAAAGTTTCTAAAGATGCCACATATTCAATATGAAGGTATATAAAATGATGCATGATACAGCTACGCAACACATTTTTGCCTTTATTGCACTGGCTAATAACAGCAAATAAATAAATAAATAAATAAATAAATAAAAAGCCCCAAACTCTGACCTTAAAGAATACAATAGACAAATACTTAATTTAGTGGTTTAGGGAAGCTGGGAGATTAGGGCTCACACAGTACCCATTTGAATCTAGTTTCTCTTACCTTGACCTCAGCCTCCGAGTAGTTCTGGACCAGGTTTTTCAGCTGTCGGCGGAGCATAGAAGACGTCATGGTGTCTGAGTGGTGGGGTATGGGTGGGAAATCAAACCACTCTGAGCTGAGAAAAAAAATAAAAGAGAAAAACAGCGCTATATGCTCAAAGAACTGGCTGACAGATCTGGACCAGAAACATCCGCAAATAAACATATATGCACACACATAATCAAACAACACATGCACATACAAACTCTCATACCTTCTATGAAGTCTGGCTGTCAAAATCTTATTTTTACGTTGTTTGCGTGCAGTGGGCGGCTCAGTGAGTGTTCATCCTGCTGGCCTGTCTTCCTCCGGCCTGCACTGTCTTGTTTCAGGACGAGAGAAACCAGATCCGTCAGCTGCAGGGAGGCACCAGTCAACATAAAAAGGAGCTGATGCAAGTGAAGGCAGAGTGACAACCACAAGCATACACTTATGAATGTGTGACTGGGCAGCTGGCCAGAGGTGTGCCTACACCTGCTGGAAGTGACAGCTTGTGCCTTTTCTTTAGTTTCTCATAATCACAACGACAAACGTAATCCTCATCTAGCAATTGTCATCTGGCTAAGCTAAGAGCTAGCTGGCTGTTAGCATCCTGGGTCCGCTGAGCGAAAAGCTAAACTAAAACCCCAATTATTCCACTGGAAAATGATCGGCTTTGCCCACATAAACAAAGTAAGTCGACATTAACGTAATTTATCTATCTTGCATAGATTATGCTTCGTGTTTTCAGGACCTCGGAGAGCGACTGAAGACGGCTAGCAGCACCGTCAATATGGCTAACGTCAAAGCTCTGCTCTCGCATAAGAGGAATCAGTTTTAATATCAGGCTTTAGAGAACAAAATAAGGGCTGTATTTTGAGAAACACCCGCTGTGTTTAATTCAAAAGGAAGCCCCCTGACCGCACGTTATTTGGTATTAAACATGTGTATTTAGAGCAAAAATACAGCACTAACCAGAGCAAGATCTTCAGGAATCTTCGAGGACACGACGCGATGGTTTCCGCTTCCGCAGTTTTCAGCACCTGCTAGCAGTGTTGCCAGATTTGACTATAAAAAGGTAAACTAGTCCAACCAGAGAACATAACTCGCACAGTTGGAATATAAATAGCCCACATTTTAATACAACAGCTTTTGGATAATGTTACATTAAATGTCTGAACTTACACGAACTGATGTAAACTTAGATTAAAAGGGTAACAGCCTATATTTGTTGCCATGAATTCAGTGAGTATGCTGTGGTCTTCAACTTGAGCCTCGTTTTTAGCCTATAATACTATATGTTTACATTTAGGGTAAGTACGCCGAATTATCTATTAGTAGCTCCTGTGTACTATGTACCATTGTATATACTGAAAACTTTAAAATGACTTTGATACTAACAAAAATCTAAAAACATGATGATCATCACACAAGTTCTAACGCGTATTATTTCTACAATTTCTAATCAGTTTTTCTGTGATTCGTAATGTTATTTGTGGATTGACAATGGACATCTGCGATAATGATAGTCTTGAAAAGTGTAAATCACATTGAACCCAGTGAATCTAATCCAAATGTGCGGAAACTATCCAATCTGGCAACATTGCCTGCAGGTTCACACATCCCTCACGATATTTATTTATTTATTGTTCTAGCTAAATACTTACCTCTAGCAACCAGTGCATCTTTTGTTAAGACACTGGAAAATAAGTTAACTGTAACAATTTTAAAATATAGTATTAAATATTTGCAGTTTCATGACAGCAACGTACTGTTAATAGTGCACTGGCATACTGTGTAAGCGTAGCTAACCCAGTCAGACGGTGAGCACACACACACACACACACACACACACACAAACAAGCTCCCTCAGAAAAGAACCGAATAAATGAGTCACAACTCTCACATCAATGACAGCTGAATCAAGATGGCGGCTGAGGGCGAGTACGAGTCGATCCTGTGCGTCAAACCCGATGTCAACGTTTATCGCATCCCGCCCCGGGCTTCAAACCGCGCATACAGGTAAAGAAACAGCCGCCAGTCGCTAACGGCGCTGTGGAATATGGTTTAATTAGCGGAGTCCGGTGTCGCTCGGTGTGGCTTTGCACTGTCCTGCTCCCAGTATTTGCTCCCAGAAGCACGACAAGGGGACACCGCACGTTTTAGTTTTTAGAAGCACTGGAGACGATAATCGATTTCCAGTTGTTGTAAAGGTCTTAAGGTTCGTTGTTTTGTTGTGCTGTCAGGGATGTGACCATGACCGCTTGTCATCATGGCGGGGGATCGATACGGGCGAGCTGCCAGGACAGTCCCACTCGCTGCCCGCTGTTCCAGCTCGGATTATCTTTATACATAAACTACTGAACGGAGGAGAAACGTTTCGGCTTTTCCACTGGAGAATCAGCTTTTTGTTTAAGGTTGACTGTTGTCGATTCAAACTTTGTGTTTATTGCTGCATTTCAGTCTGCACAGGCTGTCTGGTTTGTCATGCAGGGAGGGAAGTCATAAATGAAATGTTCATTCTCTAGGCTCTGAATAGCTCCACTATCACCCACACAGTCAATACTGTGTTTTGGACCATCTGACACATGACAAAATAGAGATTTAGCCACTTTTATAACCCAGTACCTTAGATTACTTGATGGCATGTATTTTAAATATTGTGCAAGTCATTGGTTACCAACCTTGGGGTTAGGGCACCTCATATGGTCCCGAGATAAAAATAAAGGTAATAAAATATGGATGTAAACAATAAAAACAGAGGAAATGATTTCATTTGACGGGAAGTTATCAAGAGAATATTTGACCTATTTAATTCTTTCACTTTTCTAACCTGTTAACCTTAAATGTTATGCAGATATCCGTTAAAGTGCAATAAATACTTTACCATGGCCCTGTTGGATTTTGACTTATGTTCATACCCCGAGCCACATGCATGCACACATGGCATTGACAGGTTTGTTTCTCACTGGGAACCCTGCACAATATCAAAACATTGTAATATATTTTAGACCACTGTGTGTTTAAAACTGCCTGTCTCTTCAAAGACTGCACTGGTTGGAATCGGGGCCAATAAGGATGTGGCTTCACGTTGAATGGACAGTTATCGCAGGGTTTCTGTTTTAAGCACACTACATTTTCTTTGTGGAACAATAATTACCTGGTGGTCAGTGTCTGACATTCACTATAAGGTTATATTTACAGGGCTACTTTGTGTAAACATAAACATATGTCTGCAGGGCAGCTGACTGGAAGCTGGATTCTCCAGACTGGTCTGGTCGAATGAGGCTCACGGCCAAAGGCAAAGTGGCGTACATCAAACTGGAGGACAAGGTCTCAGGTAGAAGTTCACTGTTTATGTAGAGTACTGTATGTATATAAGCTTGTTTAAGTCATATATTTATTACATTGAAAGAGATCATGTGGCTGTTTCTCTTTAGCTCAATGAGCCTTTCATCCACTTTCAATGCATTCTTCTTGTTTTCCAGATTGTAAAACATGAAGCATGAATCACTTTTTTTTTTTGTGACTTGTTTTCTGTGTTCTCTGCTGCTGCAGGGGAGCTGTTTGCACAGGCGCCGGTGAAAGAATATCCTGGTGTTGCAGTGGAAACTGTCAGCGACTCCAGTCGGTATTTTGTTCTGCGGATACAGGATGAAACTGGTTAGGGTGACTGGTTGTCTTAAGTCCACACATTACCACACAACCATCTGTGGAATGCTCTGTAAGTACAAGCGTTCTTGGTGGTTCCCATCCTGTCTTGTCCCCAGGTCGCAGTGCTTTCATAGGAGTTGGCTTCGGGGACCGAGGGGACGCTTTTGACTTCAACGTGGCTTTGCAGGACCATTTCAAGTAAGCGGTGCTGCATTCACAGCTGCAGGTTTGGTATTTCCCCCTAAAGTCCAGTTTACCAAGAGCTGCTCCAATAAAAGCTGTTGTTGAAGTTTTGAGGAACACGGTAAACTCTTTATTTCAAACACTAGACCTACAGATTGTCACTAGTTTTCCTTCGAAACTACTGACAGAATGAACCTGTCTTACATTTTCTACATTCCTGCAGCCATCCGCGGCTGAAACGAGATGCTGTCTTTGACCTACTGTATAGTATAGGGTGGAAAGCTGCATCTAAAACTGCTGAGATGCATTGATTATTTCTGTATCAGTGTGGGTCTCTCCCTCCCTGCAGATGGGTGAAACAGGAGGATGAAATCAGTAAAAGTGCCCAGCTCGGGGATTCAGGACCAAAACTGGACCTGGGCTTTAAAGAGGGACAGACCATCACACTCAACATTGGGGTAAGAAACAGTGTGTCAGGCATCAAACTGCATGAAATGAGTCTGTTGGCGAGTGAAGAAAGGCTGGTTTTTAAACAGGATAAAAGACAAAGCATATAAACAAAACATAGAACGAAGTAAAAGTAAGCATTGTAAACATAGTGTATTACATGTTAAACTTCTGAGTGAAAAAAGAAAAGTTACTTGGAGAAGTCACCTTCTAACTTTTGTACATTGTTGTCTTGTTTTTTTTAAGTATGTGATAAATGAGATTAAGCTAAGTGTTGTGAAGAAACTGTTGACAATTGAAGTGAAGCACAAATGTCCATTTGAAATTCATTCTTCTCAAAAAAAAAACATTTTTCTTCTAGCAAGGTAAAAAGAGAGATAAGCCCCGCCCACAAGGTTCAGGTGTGATCGGACGCCTCCCACCACCCCCTGGAGGGAAGATAGCCCCGCCCCCTTCATCAGGTTCATCCAATCACAACATAGTTCCCCAGACAGGCGGCACAGCGACAGGTGACTGGCTGCAGCATTCTGTGTCGGTGTCTCAGCACCAGTGAATTTAATTTTGACAGACACAGTGAACAAACGTTTCCAGTGAGAGGGATTTGATGCTCTTCTCCTTTTCAGTTTGTATTTTCATGTACACATCGCCTTGCTCAGCTATTATCTGCCAGCATGGCCTATTTTCTTCATCACTCTGTTGATTGATGGCTTTTCAGTGAGCTTCAGGTAATGAGTGAAGTCTGTATCCGTTTGGACACTGCCGTTGATGAGCTGTGTGTGTGTGTGTGTGTGTGTGTGTGTGTGTGTGTGTCTCTCTCTCAGGCTGCCTGTTGGAGCTGGACAGTAGTAACTCTAACACTGTGGTTCAGTCAAACCCTAGTTCAGATCTTTGGGGAGACTTCTCTGCTCATACAAGGTAGATAACTTATCTGTCAACATGTACAGAAGGTTCTGTGGTTAAAATTGTCAACATTACCTCCATAAACATCTCATTCTGAAACTGGGGGCATTAATCTGCTGCTACAACATCCTCCTCTCTATTGGAAAGACTCTCCTGCAGACACTAGAGCTGACTCTTGATTTTAAGGAAAGCACATTTTTAAATTTTGCACATATTAGACATTATACACAGCAAGTTAGATGTTTTTAGTGTTTTTGTATTTTGTAATAGTTGTGTGTGGTTATTGTTAGAATAGAGCAAATGGTATTATTACAGTAGGATAATAAATACAGTTGAGTGTTTGTGCTTAAAATATCAACCTTTGTATCTTAAACCTGGCCCCAACCTTCTTTGGAAAATCAAACAAGTTTGTTTTTCCCATTTGGTTAATTAGTTTACTATTCACACTACTGCCAGTCACTTTCAAACCGTACTGTTGTGTCCTAAACCTTTGCTAGCTGCGTGATGGTAAAGTGTCCTATACATAGAATAAAACCTAACACCAATTTCTTTGCCTGCAGCTCCGTCTCACCATCATCACAACCACAGAACACGGCAAACTGGACCCAGTTTTGAGTCATCGGCTGTTTCGTGGGTTGTGATTTCTATCTCTCCTGCATCTGTGCCCATAGCTTCCTGTGCATCCCACACACTGATCCCAAAGCAGAGCTGTGAAACACCCCAGAGCTGTAGAAACTACTCCTGACATCTTTACATTCAGAAAGAATCAAATTCAGAATTTCCTGGTTGGAAATGAAGCATTAACGCATCAAAGCCATTATGTGATTAGGAGCCATTTTCAGTAATATTTAAGGGCTATGTGTGATGTCCTGAGTACCAGCTGTTCCTCGTTTGCGTCTGCGTCGCCTCCCCAGTAGATGGCTCTCTAAACAGACCTTTATCTCTGACTGGGAGTGTATCTGTCGCTGCAGCAGCCCCCCTGCAGCCCTGCAGAGTTCATCTCGGAGCAGGCACCAGAACTGCAAAGAAGGCCACTGAGGCAGTTTCTTTAATGCTCTACAATTGGCGCTTAGGTTTTATTTTTCTAAACCAGCCTTATTGTTTCTATTAAAGTTGAATTTTTGCTAAATAATTACACCAGTGGTCTGTCTAGTCCTTAGAACAGTAATGCACGTAATGCCCCTTTACCCTTTAAAATGAGACGCTTGTTTCAGTCCTGACACTGTGGAGTAGCACAGCTTTGTCTGAGGTCTTTAAAAGTCTATTTAAAACAGCCGCAGGTCTGAGGTGGGGTTTGATTACATAATGATAAAGTATTTGGATTTAAACTTAGCTTTTCTTTCTTTGATATGAAAACACAAATGCAACCCAGTACTTCAGTAATCTTTATCATGCTTATGTGGTACAGTACATTACCACAGGAGCCAGGAGTGATCTAGTGTGTCTATGAAGCTCATGTGTTCAGAGAAGGGATGCATTAACAGTCCTCTCTAAATTTATGCTTGTGATGTAAAATCATTTGTTTACTGCTGGGTGCGTATTATCAGCAGGTTTATTATGTGGAAACACTGAATTCAGTAGCCAAATTCAGACATGCAGTCTTCATGTCATTTACTTCCACTTCATTTTCCTGCATTGTCAAAACTGAATAAGCTAAAAGTTAAATATAACATATCTTTCTGCTGCACTTGTTGATCGATGTTTCTGCTGACACTAAATTAAAGCTATGTCAATACTTCAAACTGATGTGAGGATGATGAGCTTCACTTTCTGCATTAGTTATTAATTTCATCCAAAATGGAAGGAATGCAATCAGTTGACCTATGTTGCCATGTTGGTGAAACGACCGTGGGGATTTTTAATGTTTAGGAGCTGCAGTGCATCTGTAGTGAACTCATGACGGTCAGCACTAAATACTATGGGTTTTATAGAAATGATAAATCTTCAGCTGAGGAGTTTACAAAGTAAGACGTTCAACAAGAGTCTGAAACAACACTGAGAAAGAAGTTTGACAATCTGAGGAAAAGATTTTGAACTTAAAAGGAGTAAGACATTTTAGGAAACAGACGCGAGTCTTGATGCTACTCATGTAAATATGAAACTCCAGTCAGCAGTGGCTTAGCTTAGAGACTGGAAATGGCTGGCTCAACCCAAGTTAACAAAACCCATATGCAGTACGAGCACCTCTGAAACGCTCTGCTCAAAACATCAAACTGTTTTTATAAATAAGTTATGTTACTGAGCGGCACTAGCTGCAGGAATGAACAGAAGTCATGTCGTATACTTCAGACTAAAAATAAAGCTAAAATGTTCTTGTGCTGAACTTGTGTGCTGATGGATGGAAAAACAAAATGATTGTTCTGCTTCATCTGATGAATGTCTTAAAGGCAGCAAATGATGAATGTTCATTTCTGTGCTGAAAATGTTTCAGCTAATTGTGAGTTTAGTTGGTGTTTACAGGACTTTTAAGTGTCATGGACATGTCTTGACTGAATTCTTTGCTCTGATTTTTAAGGTTTGCTGTGATTAAATCACATGAACTGTATTTCATCACCATCAAGCTACAGGGCTGGCTGATATATGTGTTGTGCTTACGTTGCTCATATTGCTCGCTAAGATTTAAAAATGTCTCAATTTCTCACTCATTCCACTGTGGCTCTTAATTCACTGGACTAACACTTTTGATTTTTTTGATCAGTTTAATGAGAATGAGGCAATAAATCCTTTGAAAGGATGCAAGACGTGTTGTGGTTCTTATTTTAAAATCCAACTGGACAGAAACCATGTATCTCCAGCTACAGCACTGATAAACCATTTAGATCTCTGGAGCTCTGAGTCACTGTTCTTACATGGCCCCACTTCTCCTGCACCAAGGTGGAAGTTCACAACTTTACAACGTGCAGATAGAAGGAGCTTTTTGGTGTTAAACACGTCTACTGTACTCTCGACTCAAGTCTTTCCAACATCACAGCTGCTGTTATCTAAGGTCAGGAGGAAGATAAGTCAAAAACACCAGTGTGACATAACAGGGTCACAGGAGGAGAGTCACATCAGTAGGCGATGAGTTGGCCTTCGACACGGCAGCTGGTCAGTGGTGACAGAAAGGCACCTTGTGGTGATAGGAGGTTTGAGGCTCTTTTTCATCTTGAAGGATGATTTTGTTTTATTGCATCTTTTGGTTTTTAATTTTTATTGTTTTCCCCATAAAATCTGTTTGGTATCTTTTCAGCCCGAACATGTAATTGGTGTCTGATTACTAAATTAATTTAGATTAAACAGATAAAGTAGTTTAAAAATAGCTCCCTGTTGACATTGATTCGTTGGCATTTCATTATCAGGAACGGCCTGTCCACACACAGAGCAGCAGTCTGTTGCCTCTCAGCTGAAGCCACCACTGCACCTTAGTAAACCCAGCCTGCTGATAATATTTCTGCACTGGTACAAGGCTTCTATTTTAAAAGTAGGACTTTTACAGTACTCTCACATAGTGTAAATAAAATTATTTCTTCACTTCATCACTGTCGCTGCAAAGAGATGCCACAGTTAAACACTGTGTAAAGAGAAGGAGACGGTCACTGCTTCACTTCATCACTGTCGCTGCAAAGATGCCACAGTTAGACACTGTGTAAAGAGAAGGAGACAGACATGAGGTCAGGACATGACCTCACTGAGCAGCAGCTTTTAGCTCTGCTCACAGACCGTGACAGACCACAGGCCTCCGCTGAGCCTCATCAGGAATATTGTTGACCTTAATTGGTTTTCATTGGTGTTCTGTATGTGAACTTCTCATGGCTAGGTTGTGTTGTGCACCTGAGCTGTCGTTTGCTCTGTAACCTTCACTGAGCAGCGCATCCGATAAAAGTACCACCACACTTGTCAATTTATCTTTGTTTTGCAGCCAAACATAGTTTAGAGAGGAATTGAGGAATTTTGACATCCCTACATGCTTACAGAAGGTTTAGTTTCCCTTTGCAGAGAACGTTTCCATCAATCAGTGTGATGCAGTGTGGTGACGGATGAGATTTAAAGGTAACACAAATACAAACTGCACAATACTCGTATCACTGAGAGCTGAAGTATGAAGTGGGAGTTTTTTAAAATCCACATATTGCTTTAATCTTTATAGTTTTTTAATTTCACATTGAAGTGTTGGATCTTCACAGGCTGTATAGCAAGACTCAGAATTTGTGAGCCGCTAGCATGGCTGTAATCACCGTACAGACGTCATCCTCATTATGTTCACCCTCTTAGATTAGTGCAGCTGAGGCCGATCAGTGTCGCCAGTTCTGAAGGTATTTGTTAATAAACTAAAGTAATAGATAATTTAAAGTTTGTTAGTGTAAGTTCACTAAAAACCAGTCGTGCCAACCTCACGTTGGTAGAAGAGGAAAACTTGAGGGCTGTGGTTTAATCAGAGTCAGTCTGTCTGACCCGTAGACTGGTCAGACAGACTGGACGTCAGCACAGTATTTGAGGATTTATGTTACCGGGTCTAATCTTAGCTTCACTTTCTAAGCTTCAAACATCACCACTTCATAAAATACATAGACATGTACATTTTTCATTTGGCTTGAGGCTGTCAGGAGAAGAACTTGGACTCAGTGCCCAGAGATCGTGTTGCAGCCAGAAAACGACACGTACCCATGACAGATTGCATTTGTTTGCCTCCTCCAGATCCAAAGGCGACACCGGTGTGTGCTCACATGCTGCTGTAAAGCCCCAGCACCAGCAGAACTCCAAGTTCCTTTCAAGTCAGATGCTGAACAATATTTCAGTGATGTGCTTTTTATCCACACAGCTGAAAGGGCTGTGGGGATGGGTGTCGACTGGCTGCTTGGACTACTTTGACTGACAAATGTACAGATTTATGTACATTTTCTTCCACTGCTGTTAAATAAATAACAGGAGCTGGTAGTGCTAAGTCTCCAGTCAGGTGCTATTAGCATTCATGCACATCAGGGTTGATTTCTTTCACCTGTCACTTTTTTGAAAAGCCAAGCTAACATTTAATTAATTTGAACTGATTTGAATGCAACACATACACTGTGACTTCTGATGTATATTGTGGCTTCAGATCTGTCATTGTCCCGAGAATCTTCTCAGAAACACTGCAAATGTCCTGCATATCCATCTTGTCCTTCAACTGGATAGACAGCCACACTCAGCATCTTGCCTCCTCCTGTTTAACTTGTATTTGTGAGGTTCCCACTAATACCTGCAGTCTGTAGTGAGATCACCAGCTTCAGTATGTGGAATCATAATGTTGTCAAATATTTTATATTAGCAGAAACTTGGCAGTTGTACTGTGGCCAAATGTTGTTCATCTTTTAGCTGCTCCCCATCGTTCAGGGGTCACTACAACAGATTACTGTGCTCCACATATGTGATTTGGCACAGGTTTTATGCCTTATGATGTAATGATGAGCTGTCCTCATGTTAACTTCTAGCCTCTCTTTTTCTACTTTCTCACATACCACACGTAGATGGCACAAATACACACATACTGGCACACACTGCTACACAACCCTTGCCCACTGGAGTGCAGCATATCAGGTGAAATGTCAGGAGAGGAGTTCGGGTCGGAGTCGTTCACAGCCAGCGTCCCTCCTCGGACCTGCTTCCTAAGTGTGGAATGATAATAAAGCTGTCTGTCCTTAACAAGCTCACTGATTCATTAGTGTTGGCTCCAAGTGGGTTATGAGGCAACTCAGAGTGGTTCCTCCTCACAGGTGACGTCTTGAGTTTAACTCTGCCACCTTATTAAGTCAAGACTGAGGAGCTGATATACTGCACTGCCTGACACCAGGGTGATTTAGGTGGTGCTGGGAGGTGCAGAGGGTAATGATAAAGACAGAGGGTTCAAAGGTCAGAGGTCAGAATCACTCGTGGTCACTTTTTGCTTTACAGATTTCAGTGAAACTTGAGCCAACACCTCAGCAGGATGATGTAAGTGGAGGTTTGTGTTTCAAGTGGGTCAGTGTGTGTGAACACTCGGTGGTGATGTGCCCATGTGTGAGTACACAAAGGTATAAATCTTACAGTAGCGTCCTGTCACACCTGCATCACCCCTATCTGACTAAACCTTGAAAAGGCAATTGGCTTGAGTTTGTATGTGCATATTTTTGTACATATAGTTGTTTATTGCTTGTGGGTGAAAACCTTGCATCTCCACAACATCAGCTTTTCAGAATCCAGCCTTGTTTTGGGCCTTATGTATATTTGATTTTACCCGACTGATCTGCAAAGGGTTTCACAAGCAAACTTTTATTTGAATTTAACTGTGACTAAAGATGGATTTACAAGTTTGCCTTTGGTAAAAGCTGAAGCTGTATGTGCCCTGTGTATCCTGTGTGTAGATGATATATCTAGATGAGTCAGTGAGGTCTCAGAGGAAGGAATGGATGAGGTTAACAAGTTCTCTTTTTTCCTCAAAGCCTTAAAAAGCTGCCTAGATAAACAGTACAGTTTTACTCAGCTGTAGAAAACCATAGTCACCCTATAATAAGAGACAGGTTGGATTCACTGCCGCAGGTTTTTTGGAGTGTGTCTGTCTCACAGCCCTGATAGACTCTTGTAGTTCACATCAGGCCTGCTTGTTCTCCCTGATGTCCCCTGACTTTAAAGCTGCACAAACCTAATCTGAGGCTCACAGACAGTGAACAGAGGCAGCTCATTGTTGGTTTTAGCCTTATCTTTTAACTTTTCTGAAGAACAAGTTCACATTTAATAGTTGTCACAACCCTGCTATAAGGTCAGGGCAAAAGAAGGGAGATACACACAAATGTACTGAGAAGATTAATCAAACATATTTATTTACATCAATTGCAGCAAAATACTTTGAATGAAATGATGAACCAGTAAATTAGTAGCATTAGTATGTTGTCTAGTTGTCTAGTAAATGAAGGCGAGGACAATAAAAACTAAATGAAAACAGACAGCAGTGGGTTCATTTGAGCCTTAATGCGTTCTGGATGAACTGACCAGATGTGTCCACTTGCACTAGTACAGTCTTCTTCAAGACCTGAAGGGAAACACAAGAGAAACCCAGCAGCGCCCAGTTAAAAAGCTACAGGCCTTCTAAGTGTGAGGGCAGGTATTACTTCCTTACATAGGCTGAGTAGATTTATCCCACAGGAGGTTTTGTTCTCACCTCAGCTTGTTATTTAGGACTCCTGTGTTTTTATTAGACTGGGCAGCAGGTCAGCATTCTGCGGTCTGCCGCTCTCCCACTCTCCCTCTGGCCTCAGCTTCCTCTCACTCTGGAAATGCTGCTGACTTTCCTGTTACTGCAGAAGTGTCAGTGATCAAATGTTTTAAGGCAAACAAATTATACAGTAGCTGGCCCTCCCACCTTTCCAGCCTGGGAAACAGAGACCAGAAGTATGTGTGCAAATAAACCAATCTGGGTAAAAAAAAAAAACTGGTTGGCCCACAGTTTCAATAAGAGTGTCTGTTAAGGCAGGAATGTTGGCAGTGACTAATCAAAGTGTGCTGAGAGTGGAGCCAAAGACCACAGTTGTGAACTTGAACGACACAGCATGAACTCTGTTTAAACAATAACATTATGACCTTGATATTTGGATCCTTAGAGTTCATCTGTGAGCATTCCCACGCATACAGGCTAGTGATTAGGACCTGTCTTCATGTTTTACACAGTCCATCCTTATACAAAGCCCTTATATTTCTGGGACTTCGGGGTGAGCAGAAATCCACCAACAAAGAAGAAAAGTCATCTTGCAAAAAATGTGCACATAGATCAGTATTTGCTGCAGTGCTATGTGATGCCAGCTGTTGAACAGTGCTGACAAATAAAATGCTGAACTCAACATCAAGAGCACAGTTCTGCAACTAAATAATAATGTATTGATGACTAGACAGTGTTTTGGCATCTGATGCACTTTTAAAGTCATGAATCTGTTAATCAAACTGGATTCCTCTTCTCCCCTGCACCTGGAGCAACACTCCTGCAATGCAGCACACAAATCCAGTTTGAGGTCTTAATGCCTGCTTATGTGTAGATGTCCAGCTGAAAGTATTTGCAGGAGATGATGGTCAGTGTGATACTTGGTTGGACTGTGAGGCTGAGGGCTGCAACGTGGTGCTGAGAGGGTGTAGAGACAAATTTATAACCATGGATCTATTTTTGAAAACATCTGGGGAAGCTCTTCAGATTGTACTCAGTGGGTCTGTGCATGTGCTTTATTTGCATTGACATGTCATCTTACAGGGACACTACTGA